TGGGTGAGTTTTTGAAAAATCTTAGCGCACGCCTATATATATATTTCTGGAAAGTTGCATGTAGATCATTTTTCGAAAAAAATAAGGCCATAAAGAAGTTTCACTTCTTACGTGTGTACACTAGTACACGCACACATTTTTTTAACTTAAAAAAGATTGATACTGTAAATGCCATATCCACGTTTACTTCTAAAGCCCAATGGTTTTGTGTTCAACGAATGGCGCGGTGGTACACCGACGCGGTTTCTTTGTCGTCGTATAATAAAGGTACGCTACGATACTGTGCTACGGTGTAGCACTACGGCTGCTACAGCGTAGACAGTAAAAACGTAACGAGGTCATTCATCGATAGATTTCACTCCTCACATTTTTCTCATACCGGGCCCCTTAAATATGCAAATCGATTCTTAAGGAGTAAACTCCAAAAAAACATGTGTTTTGAGTGTCGTCGTGCCAGCGTCCGCGCAACTTCCCATTTGTTAGAAGTCAGTGAATGAAATTAAAATATATATTTGGAATGTTTAGTTTAAAACTTTTTTGAAACATCAGTTATAAAACATTGGCCTTAATGCAGCTATTTAAGTTTCTTTTAAGAGGTACAGCATAGCGGATTTACCGCTCGAATTGGAGCGCTTGTTTGGGGATGTAGCCTCCACCGCACCGTACAGAAAAGTAAAGTAGCACTACCTTTTGGTAGTGCTACTTTACTTAGCGTTCGGCTACGATCGTTGAAGTTAAGCAACTTTCGCAGTGGTCGGTCATTGGATGGGTGACCAAAAATTATTATCTCGAGCTCCTCCGTGCTTCGGAAGGCACGTTAAGCCGTTGGTCCCGGCTGCATCTGCAGTCGTTAGCACCCACCAATCCGCACTGGGCCCGCGTGATGAGTCATGGCCCAATCTCCCTATTCCATCCATGGGGAAGGCCTGTGCCCCAGCAGTGGGGACATTAATAGGCTGATGATGATGATGATAACATTTTGCTAGTGTTGAGACTATCGGTGAGATGGGTTGCAGTATTCCACGGCGTAGGGGATTGGGTCAGGGTAGACAACGGCGCTAGTGTTTTTTTGTATCGCTAGCGTGTATAGGCTATGTATAGTGGCCGGTTACCATACTATAATTTACATATACCGATGAATTGGTTTTTAATATATTGTTACGTGTCGGGATGGGGTTCGAAATTATATGCCAGTTCACGCTTGACAGTTCTTTATTCACCACACAGTTCACACAATTAACACACAATGTTAATTACATAACACTCACTAAACACTATTTCACTATACAAGTCACTAAACTATCGCGCTTGAACACTTTTGTTGCGCTTTGATCGCGCTTATATACGCCGATCGACGCATTCTAGAAAGTACCTGTTAAATTGAGAATCAGCTAGCACCCGCGAGTACATAGTACCTACTTATACCTACGCAGGTAACGCGCATAACTTGTAAACAAGTGCAGGTGTCGTTGCACTTTCGCCCTTACGCCGTACTGCATAAGGCTCAATTTAGAATGAGCCGCATTACTCGACCTCTATCGCGACCCGCGGTGCTCTGGCAATCGATCTCTAGCACTTTCGCGGTTACGTTTCGAGAGCGTTTGTGACAATATACTATAATTAAAAACCAATTCAGCGATATATGTAACTGTGACTGTTGGTCAGATTATATATATATATAATATATATATTTTAAGATTGTAATAAAATAAACCTGAGCTAAGAAGGTCGACGCCAAAGCGAAGCGAGGTCGGGACTTTACGAACGTTTAATGGATAGTACTATAGTAGCTTTCATTATGTTTATTAACAGATGAACATTTTTGTATATTCTTAGTTATTAGTTGAATAGAAAAATGTAAGTGTAGCTTTTAATTTCATTCACTGCTTTAAAAGTCTGTGGTTTAAAGTTAAACTCCATTGGCACTCCACTATAACTCCTCCTTGTAACTTAACTTCAATAAATACCTATTAAATAAACTACTATTGGTGGTCTATATCGTGTATAAGCCGATGAATACCTAATAAGTGTCTTCAAAACTTCTTTACCCAATAGCCAGAAACGATTTAAATAATTATTCACAAATTTTCATGCTTTAAGTATATGATGTTTATTTTGTAAATACTAGATGAATAGCTACCGCTCTGTACTGAAGGAGTTACGCGATGCATTGATAAATTATTATTTATTGCTACTAAACCGATTGAGTCTGTTATGTGCACTCTATCGATTCAGGGTAAATGTTAAAATAAATGATATACATATAATGCATTATTTGTGAACGATTCAATAGATAACTTATTTTGTTGTTGGTTGCTTTTGCACAGTTGTTTCTGTACAACTGGGTCGTTTCAGATTTGTTATACAGGGTGTTACAAAAATACAAATTAAGCTTGAAGGACGTTGGAGTACATCATATTATGAGTCTTCTCTAATTTTCTTAAAATATTTGCATGAAGTTTTAACTTTTTGTAAAAACAGTTATTTTTAATGATCCTCGAACTAGTGACGTGTCTTAAAATGAACGATATTTTTATTAATCATTAAACATAACTGTTTCTATAAAAAGTTTATACTTCATGCAAATATTTTAAGAAAATTAGAGAAGACTCCTTATATGATGTACTTCAACGCCCTTCAAGCTTTATTTGTATTTTTGTAACACCCTGTATAGCATCAAAATTATATTTTGTTTTAACATTTCACCTTGATAATGTTGTATAATTCCTTAACTTAAGCTACACTTTAAATTTTAATTACGATTATGATGTAGCACATCTCAATGAAAGTGTTCAAGGGGTGCTACATGTAGGGATGGTTATAAATTTCAGCAAATTATATAAGCTATAATGGCCTGTCTTCATTTTATTTTCATATGGGTTTGTGGATATAATCATGTGCTCTAATTTAAGAGTATTTGTTAGTTTTATAATTTTGTACAATGAAGAAGTTATAGTTTATTTCAAGTGGTTTTGTGATTACTGATTTACAGAAAGTTCCTAAGACTTAATAAATATATTAGATGCCATTTTATTGTAATAAGATTTTTGTTTCATACATTTAAGTAACCGATTTTGTGTTCGTTTCAGTTGATAGTTTAGTATATTTCAATGTTAACTATTAATGAGCAAAAAACTGTTGTTTTCATTGTATTTAATTGAAGAGAATAATATGTACTCAATATATGGTTTTTATGTTTTGTGATGAAATGAAATGCTGCTAATTATGGAATAGAGTAAGTGATACAATGAGCATTTAACATTATGATTAGTATATTTTTAGTAATTTAATGTGAATTCCTGAAACCGATTCTATGAACAAATTAAATAATGAGTGTTAAATATTTCCACAGAAATCAAAGGAAAAGCACATCATGTGTAGCGGTAATATAGGCATACACATGTGTACGATAATATTGCAATGTGTATGAATTGATTTTGGGCTTTTACATATTGTGTAATTTAAATGTACATTTTACATAATAATTGTTGTTGTTAAAATAAAACATGATGAAAATGCAATATTTTTATTTCTTCTTGCTAAAAAACTAAAAACCCAATAAGTACCTAAGCTTATCTTTTACTGGAGAATATTTACCTATCTTTCATTGAAAATGTTGGTAATGGTTGGTTGGTAATAACATAATTGCAAGTTGCAGTTGAATGTAGGTACACTCGCGGAAAGACCTTAGATTAAAACAAAAAGGGAAGATACGGCATTCGCGGCTCAAAAGTGATCCGCTTAAATTGTGGTCCACGACCACAATTCGCTTTAGTCACAATTTGACATTCAAACACGCTGCATGTACACTCAATATAACAATATTGCGTATATTCTGTGTTATGAAGATATGACAATGCCTTCGATGCTTTTATAAAGAACACAAATTGTTCAAATTAAAAAAAAAAAAATGCCCCGGCCACACTTTTCATTCGTAAAACTGTGAAAACATTTTTTTCTCAAAAATCACGGTTTGTCGTGAATATTATTTACGTAATCGCCATTTTGTAAGCAAGAAAAGGACAACAATACGCTGCGTTGAAGCGTATAGTTCTGTCTCGCTCGCTCGATTGATGTTTATATATAGACGTGTGCGTGAAGAAAGTTGCTTATGTAGTTGAGTCGGATCATATTTTATTTGATGCTAGTATGAGCGTACCGTATCTACTCTTTTTGTTTTAATCTAAGGGAAAGACCCGCTCTGTCACCCATAATGCCATAATCGCTTGCGGTAGCGGCGTAGTAAAAATTCATTCATAGAGTTGTAATTATCGCTGTCTTACTTTTTCGTATAGCGCTGTCGCGATCACGATGCGAATGACAAATTGCAACTAAAACAAATGCAATTCAATTCATTATTCAATCAATGAAATGCTCTCTGTCTTACTTTAGTGCGGCGGCCCGGATTGGCGCGTCCGACGCGAAGGCGGGGCGTAGTAAAAACTACTGTAGAAAACCGTTGAAAGCATTTTGTTCGCCAAGTGGCAGAGCGCAAAATTCCCGCGATAGTGCCTTATTATTCTCTCATTCATTATTATTATTCTCATTTCATGGTCTTCCTTTTATTTTGGATACCACTAATTTATTAGGAATTAAATTAAATATTTTTTAATAATACATTTGACCCTTTATGATTGGTTCAGTAAAATTAGTTATTCTTTTATATTTAGCGAGACCAATTCCTGGTTCATACAGATGATTGTTCATAATTCTTTAAATGAAGTTTGTAATTACTATTAATATTTTGAAGTCTTCATTAAGAATCATTTGTTATCTATTTAAGTATAACTTGGATGGAAAGTACCTTCAAAAATAAATCTATAGTATTTTTTAAGGTACTTTCCATCCAAGTGACAATGTCCAAACAAGACTTGTGACGTTTTTAATATGGTACACTGAAAAAAAGATATTAGTTTCTGCAGTCCTCCATATAATATAAACTTGATTACCTTAAAAAGGATTATGACAGTTTTTCCTTTACAAAATGAAATACAGATATTTAAATATTAAAAATTTATTTAGAAACAAAACTCTTAGTGACCATTTTGCTTACAATGATATCTAACAAATCTAATTCGCATTTTATGTCATGTAAATTATACAAAGTTTTGATTTGTTTAATATCAGTGACATCTTTGAGTTCACTCAGTGGACATATATCTCCATTGATTTTTGACAATATTTCTTCTGCACAATCTGTAAATGGTGTCTTTATAAAACATACTAAAAGATCATGATTGTTTTCAATACCAAACTTGCTAAGACTTTGACTTATATTTTTGCTGAGGGATAAATTAAAAAGAATTTCGGCAAACACTGTCCTAGTTACTAGGGCTTTATGCTGTTCTGAAACAACTGCTCGATTTGCAGCCACGGCAATTTGAAATGGGTCCAATATTACACTAGCCTTTATGACAGCACATTTCCAGGCAGCGGTGATAATGTTGGTTCTGATCTCTTCAACATTCTTTACATTTCGCAAGAAGTAGACTTGTAGAGTGGCTTTGGTGAGGGCATCTAATTCACAAACAAATTCGCGAGACATTTTGATCGAATAACGTGCTACTGAATTTATTAAGTTGAAAGGTGATACCTACTAAATAATTCACTGGTACGACCTTCAGTTAAGGAATTGAAAACCATACAATAACCATAAATCAGTCAGTTTGTAACAGTGGAAAATTGGTGGAAAGAAAAACCTCATGAAAAATGATATCAAGCCGCCGGGCTACGTTCCAAACTTACGCTTTGCTTTTTGCTTATCCGGCAGTGTGACCAGATAAAATTTTACGAAAATACCGAGGCACCTCAAAAAAATACTGAAATATACCGACTTACATAGGACAGATATACCAATAAAAATACTGATTTTCTTAACACATTTTATTTATTCATACGTACTCACAATAAATGTTAGAGTTTTATTTTAACATCCTTTTCGAAGGATTAAAATTTACACAACCTCCTTCATTTCTTCATGCTCTATCTAATAGTGCAAACCGCATTAAAATCGGCCCAGCAGTTGTAAAGTTTTAGGCGAACATACATTCTGCAAGTCCGATTAATACTATGTATTGATTGATAATTGTATATGTAGTATTACAATACTACAACGCCGACAACGGTCGTCTTTCTTGTCATATCTGTAATTTACTCATAGATAACATGAATAAGTATAGGTAAACTAAATCCGGGGAAGTCCCCAATGTTCGCATTCCGGGGAATGAAGGCTACCGTTTTCTGTCTCACCAGATGGCGCCACTGTTGAGTGAGGTCCTAAATTGTAACTTTTAAAGTTTATTAATACGCACATGAAATCAAAGGTTACATTTAGATCGTATTTTAACACAAAAGAACCATATCCTAAACATAATAGGCCTTGCCACAGTGACGCCCAGTTCCGTTTTATTCGGAAAAAATGGGAACATAATCATTTTTCTAAGCTCAAATTTTTAATAACTGACATTCATTGCCACATAACTCATATTTGCCATAATTAAGCCGAATTGTTACCAATTATTCACAACATTATTTTAATAAGAAATAAACCCGCGTAGACAACCAACAATCAATAACATTTGACATTTCGGAGACCTCACGCTACACTAGCGCCTCTAGCGGTGGATTCATACGCGATAGCCCTCATTCCGCAAACATTGTCGCAAAGACGATCACTCACTCATACCCAAAAATACTGACTGCCAGCAATATACCTGAAAATATACTGATGTTCTGAAAAATCTATGAAATATACTGAAAAAGTATTAAAATACTGAATCTGGTCACACTGTTGTCCGGACTAGTCCGGAGCAGCTCGTACCGGTGATTTACCGGTAAAAGTAATCAATTAAAACCACCAGAGACTAATCAGTTTATCTCCGGTGGTCGCATTATTACAAAGTTGAAAAAATGGATGCGTGTAACTTATGTACGCGCGTGAGAAGTTATACTTCTTTAGCATCATTAAAAATATTTTTTAATTGCTTGCAAATAATTAATAATTACAATAAAATAATAAAACGACTGGAAAAGGATAGTTAACACAGTCAATTAAGTTCAGTTTTAATTTGAAAAATTAAATAAATATTCAAAATATTCAATCAAAATCACTACTGAATTTAAGTTATTAGTTCATATGTAATTAGCACTTGTAAGTAACTAAAACACGTTGTGTCTATATAGAAACTAGAAACATGTGGATAAATATTATAAATATGAAAACAGTGATCAGAGGCGACGAGCGTGCCAACATTGTTTTAGACAACGCGATCATCTTATGGAGCTCCGTGGATCGTTCAAAGTACCTTTCGAACAGATGTCTAATTAGACACTAACATTCATAACGCGCCCGCGGCCAACTTCATGGTGTTACTTTACTGTTACAGTGTTGCGCGCGCATCTTCAAATTTCACTCTCATCATTTTTTCATAACGCGCCCGCGGCTAACTTCATTATGTTACTTTTGTGTTACAGTGATGCGCGCGCATCTTAAAATTTCACTCTCATAATTTTTTCATAACGCGGCTAAAGAAGTATAACTTCAAAAAAAAATATGGGTGCGTGTACTTAAGTACGCGCGTGAGAAGTTATACTTCTTTTTGGAATTATTAAAAAATAGTTTTTAATTGCATGCAGATAATTAATTACAATAAGATAATAAAAGGACTGGAAAAGGATAGTCAACGCAGTCAAAAAAGTTCAGTTTTAATTTGAAAAATTTAATAAATAATCAAAATATTCAATTTAAATCACTACTGAATTTAAGTTATTAGTTCATATGTAATTAGCACTTGTAAGTAACTAAAACACGTTGTGTCTATATAGAAACTAGAAACATGTGGATAAATATTATAAATATGAAAACAGTGATCAGAGGCGACGAGCGTGCCAACATTGTTTTTGACAACGCGATCATCTTATGGAGCTCCGTGGATCGTTCAAAGTACCTTTCGAACAGATGTGGTTAATAATCCACCATTATTAGATACTAACATTCATAATGCGCCCGCGGCCAACTTCATGGTGTTACTATTGTGTTACAGTGATGCGCGCGCATCTCGAAATTTCACTCACATGATTTTGTCAAAACGCGCCCGCGGCTAACTTCATTATGTTACTTATGTGTTACAGTGATGCGCGCGCATCTTAAAATTTCACTCTCATAATTTTTTCATAACGCGGCTAAAGAAGTATAACTTCAAAAATGCTTAATGTTTATTACACCTTAGGTACGTAAAATTAAAAAAATTGGTAGTAAAATAATATTTTAAAAAAATGAAACGTGTGTTTACTAATACAATATTAAAAATTCCAAATACAATAATTTGAGCTAGTATGTCGGACAACATCGGTTATCGGTCGTCCGGTGAATACCGGAATTTCCTGATTTACGATAACCGGTGAACTCAATCGGTTCTCAAAATTCCGCTGCGGTGCACACCTTTACCGGATACCCCGGTCGGGTGCAACCACAGACTAAGAACCCCTGTCAATATCAGATATGACATAAACTTCATACAATTAAAGGTGCATTTCAAGGAAGTTTTATGCCTGTTTATTTAGCCTACACTTATACAATACAGCCCACGTAGCATGATCACCACGATGATATGATGTATTTCCATTGGACATTACGTCTGACTTATCAAACTCCATAGTTATTTGACATAACGGGTGATAAAAACGTGATATACATAATATTGTGGTGCTCATACTAGGTCTGCGCAATATGAGCACCACAATATACATTATAAAACGTTATTTATCGCGCCTAACAGTCAAACTCCATAGTAATTTGACAATTGAGCGCGATAAAAACGAGCTATATATCGCAGTGTTTATGCTAGGGCGAAAGGCTGTCAGGTGCCACGCACTTTTCGTAGTACATAGCATACTTTGGTAGTTTTTCAATTACAGCACTAGAACGCATTATGCGGCATAATGCTTAACGTTGAATGTTTCAACTACAGCAACGCTTAGCATAATCGAGCATTCTCAAAAGTAATGTTTTCGTGTGATGCGTGCAATCGATACCAACTCAGTGACAGAAAATTAACAAGTGTTTTTTCTTTAAGTTGGCATTGATTTAAATGTTTTATTTATATAATATCGTTAGTAATATTATTATTTAAAAATGTTCATGAAATAATCAAAATTCAAATTATTTAAAATCCTCGTAAATAATTTTCAATCAATTATTATGTATACCACTTTATTTATACATTAATGAGGTTATTGCTAACTCTATGTTTTTTTTTCAACACTGAACTTAGCGCACTCTGCTGGTTAGTGCATATGAAAACTAATTCGCGTTCCAATTAAGCATCAACATAATTCGGCATTGTGCGCCACTGAGTCGCATTATGCTCAGTGATTGGAAAACTACCTTTCTGTGGTATCAACCTATAATTTAATGAATGAAAGGAATTTATGCAGTTACTTCAGTAAATTACGCAACTACTGTAGTGGAATTTTTACAAAGTAAAATTCTTTTGAAACGGGTTTCTTAGAATTTACTGCAGTAAAAGTAAAAAAAAAACACAATATTACTTTTATGCAAAAAACGTAATGAGGCATCCGATAATAACGCACCTATTTATAGGGTATATTCCGAAATATACATCAGTATACTGGCCAGTAGTAATGACGTCACGAATCGGACGCCATATTGTACTGGTATGTTACCATATTTTTACCGGGAAAACGAATATGACGTCTGACCAAGCGTGCGTGTGATGCATTCGAATTTAATTTCTTTTTAATGTGTAACATCTTTCCTCTCGCTTTTCTGCAAATTTTGGGAGTGATTTCGTGAAATAGGACGGAAGTGTGTAACAGGAAGTCGCTAAAGCGCGCGGTTTTTTGATTTGATTTTAGAACATAATGTTCAAATGGCTTATTCCTTTTGTAGTAGGTTTTATCTCTTTTTTACTAATATAAGGTGAGGTTTCAAATGTTACACATCGTCTGTAAGGCTCGTTCGTTTTTTTTACTTAAAAAACAATAATGGCATCCGAACAAAAAGATTTCCTTTTAATTGAAGAGGGCAACAAAAAATCTTCTTTATTCGCACTATTTTTAATATTTTGTCGATTTATGACGTCAGTGCACTGGCCAGTATATTTCGGAAAAATTCACCAGTATAGCGTCGATTCATGACGTCATTAGCACTGGCCAGTATACTGGTATATATTACGGAATACACCCCATCCATGTCGTCTGTCATCATGTCATTGTCGTATTGTTGTTTACTGTTTTAGAATTCTAAAATAATAATCTTTAAGAGATAAGATAACTTTGAATAGAGCGAACATAGTTCAGAAAATAACGTCATTATATTCTCAATAGCTGTGCGCCGAAATAATTAAGTGTAAACATGTTAGTATCTAAATTAAATAACCTTAGGGTTTTAGTCAAATCTATTGGGCCGAGGTTACTATCGACAGCTTACCAACAGCAGGGCGACTATGTTGGACCCGTAGTTTTTCATAAGCTGACTGGTGCTGATAAGGGGATCGCAGTGTATGGTTTAAACAGCCCTAAAGACAGAAATGCTTTAGGTTATGATTTAATTAAGGCTATGAAGGAAGTAAATCAAATTCTTCGAGAAGACACCAAAATTTCTGTAGTGATACTTCATAGTCTAGTGCCAGGAATATTTTGTGCTGGTGTGTATTATCCATAGAGATATGTAGTTTTCAATGATAAAAAAAATAAGGTAGGCTTTAAAAATAAAATAACTGGTATTTATTTATTTTATCAGGAGCAAACTTAAAGGAAAGATTTCAAATGACTGATGAAGAAGTTACAGCTTTTGTTCGTGGATTGAGAGGAACATTTATAGAAGTAGAAGATTTGCCAATGCCAACCATCGCAGCCATAGATGGAGTGGCAGTGGGAGGAGGACTAGAGTTGGCTCTAGCTTGTGATATCAGAATTTCTGCAGATTCTGCAAAATTGGGCTTAGTGGAAACTGGACGTGGTCTCATTCCTGGTGCTGGTGGTACTCAAAGGCTTCCCAGGACAGTTCATCTGAACATTGCAAAGGAATTAATATTCACATCAAGAATTATTAGTGGTAGCGAAGCCAAAGAAAAGGGTAAGTTAAAATTTATGAGAACAGTAGAAATAGAAGTGAGTTTTTTACATAATATCAGTTGTTGATAATATTTAATTTTACAGGACTAGTAAATCATGTTGTGCCCCAAAACACTACCAAAACTGCTGCATTTGATATGGCCCTTAATATTGCCAGAGAGATAATTGTCAATGCTCCAATCGCACTTAGATGTGCCAAGCAAGCCATAAATGAGGGTATACAGCTGACTATAAAAGAAGGATATGAAGTGGAACAGAAGTACTATGAGAGGAATGTTCCCACCAAGGATCGGCAGGAGGGGATGATATCCTTTATGGAAAAAAGAAAACCAGTCTATGAAGGTCATTGACCATTTACTTTTGTTAAAACATAAACCTAGTATGTAATAAATCTTGTAATAACAGCTACTTTTGACTGTAGAAACTACAGCAATATTGCATATATTTCTAAAGTTGTTGAAATTTTTTTTTTTTATATTATTATATAATATACATAATATATTTTTGTATACTATTGTTGGGGTTATAGTAATTTAAGAATAATAAGAACAAGTGAAATGATGCCATATCAAATGTCAAAAATAAATGCATATTTTTTATAAGCACTGGTTTCATATATTGTCATAAATATACCTTTAAATATATTACAACCGGTATCTTTAAAATGTTCAATATATACACAATTATTTGGTGATATCTATTTTACATAATGTGTATCATAGAAGATTAAGACATTTCTTAACTTCTGCTCTGGTATCTTCAGGAGACATTACTTTGTGGCCAATGGTTCTTTTATCACTGAAGATTTCATAATCATTGCCACCTTTTTCAGTTTTATCACCAAAAAAGTGTATTTCATCATAATTTGCTTCAGCAACATGATTTAAGCAATATGTCTTATCCCAGCCTGCAGGAAATACATCTATACTGATCTGACCACCCAACGCAAAGGTCAGGCCATAATCAGAAAATTTTTCCTTTAGAGCATTCACAAACTTTTCTCTAACTTTATTTTCCATGTCATATGCTGAGAATTGCTCTCGCTCAACTTGACTGCAGGAACGTCCAACCGGACAAATATTTATCATACTCGACCGAAACTCCACAAAATTACCTCTTTTGGCAGGCAGTTCAATATCAGACATGTATTTAAGTGCAAAATTAATAAGTTTCTGCAGCTTCTGCTCACCAATATGATTAAGTATACTCTGTTTACTTTTCAACACTCCATTTTGGTATTGCATCAGACCATTTTCACAAAAAACATAGTCAAACTCATTAGTTACTTGCTCTCCATTCATTTGTTCAACAATTTTAGTGTAATCAGATCCACTCACAAGACCAACAGAGACCCGAGGCTTCAATTCTTCCAGGAGAAATCTTTTCATTTCTTCCTTGATTACTTGACGTGGTTTAGTTAATGTACCATCGACGTCAAATAAAAATAATACATTTTTGCGTACTGACATTTTATACGCGGTATTCCAGCTCTATCTGAATTAGTTTGAATTTTGGAGGCAAAATGAGCGGTCAATAACTGGAGAACGGCAAAAGCCGGCGTGTCAAAAGTTTACAGCAGTCCAGTTTGTCGTGCGACACGTCACTCACTCGCGTCGCGGCAGTGGTTCCAAACACTGATCACGTCAATATGTGCAAGTGGCGGAGTGTTATTTATGTTTTATTACTGTGTTTATTCGTCACAGAAACAGTTTTATCTACAAAAGCGAAGAACGTGCTTTTGCTTCTAGGTAAGTGTTTAATTTATTGTTAACTTACAATATTACACTTTACGTTAAACGTTCACACTATATTCGTACGGGCACTCGATTTAAGCAATGAGAACATAATGTACATACACTCTGCCTGCATGTTGATTTTGCTTGCTATTTTATAATGATAACGTTATCAATCAAAAATAGACAAATTTTTATTGGTTTTGTTATTTTCTTCGTCATTCATTTCATTCCTATTTCCGCTTAAGGCAGAAACATATTTACTTGTCGTGGTTTGTCTGTGTTATTCTTCCCAGTGTGACCAGATAAAATTTTACGAAAATACCGAGGCACCTCAAAAAAATACTGAAATATACCGACTTACATAGGACAGATATACCAATAAAAATACTGATTTTCTTAACACGTTTTATTTATTCATACGTACTCACAATAAATGTTAGAGTTATATTTTAACATCCTTTTCGAAGGATTAAAATTTACACAACCTCTTTCATTTCTTCACGCTCTATCTAATAGTGCAAACCGCATTAAAATCGGTCCAGCAGTTGTAAAGTTTTAGGCGAACATACATTCTGCAAGTCTGATTAATACTATGTATTGATTGATAATTGTATAAAATATGTAGTATTACAATACTACAACGCCGACAACAGCCGACTTTCTTGTCATATCTGTAACTTACTCATAGATAACATGTATAAGTATAGGTAAACTAAATCCGGGGAAGTCCCCAATGTTCGCGTTCCGGGGAATTCCGCAAACATTGTCGCAAAGACGATCACTCACTACGGTGTTGCCATAACTTCTACCAAAATATACCCAAAAATACTGACTGCCAGCAATATACCTGAAAATATACTGATGTTCGGAAAAATCGATGAAATATACTGAAAAAGTATTAAAATACTGAATCTGGTCACACTGATTCTTCCTGCAGATTGTCCACAGATAATAGAGAAATGTTTCACGCATACAGTGCGACGAGTGCGACCAAAATCTTATGGCACTTTTATGACATTGACAGGAGGGCACTGCAGGTGATTAAGTGGTAAAATGATAAAAATCTTTTAAGTACGTAAAATCCTTCACTAAAGGGATCGTTATAATTTGCAATAACTCGGAAATAGTAACAGAAAATATAGAAATATTATTTACACCTTGTTCTTTAAATTGAAGGCTAATTTTATACCTTCCTAAAATGAGTTTCGATAGTGGTGTCGATTCTGGCATGACTCTAAACCTAAACTAAAACTTGACAACAGTGGTGTCAATTCTGGCGTATTTCTCTAAACTTAAAACTAAATTTAACATCAGTCTCTCCTTTTCATTCCGTATAGAGAATGACAGGGATGCACTGTTGCCAAATTTAAGTTTAGCTTTAGAGAATCATGCCAGAATTGACATCACTGTATCCCTGTCATTCTCTATACAGAATGAAAAGGAGAGACTGATGTTAAATTTAGTTTTATGTTTAGAGAAAATCGAGGATTACCATTTACAAATTAAATTAAAACCCGACAAAAAGCCTGGCATTTGGTTAAAAGTTTAGACTTGCAAGATTTTATATTCTGTTTTAGATAAATGAAAAAGTTGAATAAAGATTATATTATCTAGAATATAAAATAAAACTTGAAAAAAAAACTAATATCATAAAAGAAATCAATTATCATTTTTGGTTAAACGGGATTTGGCATTTGGTAAATGAATGATTATTACCTAATATTTTCTGTCAATGAAATGTATTAATGCAAAAGTGAGGTTTTGAGATGGTTAGGTGAGGCCACAGGGCCGAAAGTAACGCAAAATTAACATTCTGGCTACGACAGAAGGCATCAGATAGATGTGAACGCTACTCAAAACGTGTCCGTCACACAGACATATAATACTATTAGTTAAATGTCTGTGGTTCGTCACAACCACATACTATTATATGCTTACGCATCAGACGGACAACTCCCATAGTAAAAATATCGCCAATAGTTCTCTTATAGAGCATGACAATTTTTTTTTCATGGGAACAAGAGTTTAATGTCGTCACGGCTTTAGATTTACAACATTACAGCCAATGATTCATTCATGGCTTTGGAGAGCAGTCTTTTAAGATGCTTTATAATTAGACCCCTACCTACCAATTATTTATTATTTGAATTATATGCGAGCAGCAAATTATTATCTCTTAATTATATTGTCATACTTAAAATTATTTTAAATAAAACACTTGGATATTTTTTAATTCTTTTCTTATATTTTCATAATGCTTTTTGATGCATAGGCGGCAAAAGTATTTTTTTCTAATATAAGAATATCTGTGCCTCTTAATATTTTATTAATGACATTGCACAAATTGAAGATACATAATTTTAATAACAATTTCAGGAAATAATCATAAGTTTAACACATTCTATAAAGTCGAATAAATAATTGTATTTTATATGCAATAGCAGGTTCTGTAAAATACTCAAGCACTCTGGTTGATTTTCTAATTATTTATTCAATTCAATATTAATATGTAACTAAATATTTGCACTGCACTTTTGGATGGGTTTTATTTTTATTATGACTGTATTCTTTGAATGTGATCCACTAATTAACTGAATTATTTTCATTACTTAATAAACTTTTTCTGCAAGTCTCACATCTGTTCAATTTTAATAATAGTACATTACGATACGCGTGACCTAAGTTGCCTATTACTGCACGCCGTGCAACTTAGGCCACAAGTATCGTATACTATTTTATAGCAAGTGTGACATAAACCCGCCCCGGACACGGGCAAGAGGAGGGTTCGGAGGGGCCGGAGGCCCCCCCGAGGGATGCGACTAGTGTTTTGAAAGTAAAATTCATGTATTGCAATCACAAAGAATTGCAATACAGACTGCAAGTCAAACTCTGAAAAGAAAGAATTCCGGTTCAGATTACCATTTTGAAAGTATATTTCAAAAGGAAAAAATCAAATATCATTACAACAAAATAGAATTTCAATGTATCCATGAACGTTTACGCAGTTTTTCACCTGGAACAAACAAAAAAAATGTTATACTCAATATAAATTTTTGCGAAACTATTATAAATAAATAAATATTTCCCACATTCACATCAATTAACCTAGCAAAAGGTAAAGGATAGAATACATATATTTTATCTAGAATTATATATAAGCATAGTGACTAAGGTATAACTGCCTGTAATTTCAATCATACTAACATTTGCCCCCACTGAGATTCGAACCTGGGACATCTGAATAGGCGACGGAATGGTAGGAATATTTTACCAAAAAAAACTTGCTCTGGGTCGAGATTGGACCATCTAGGTAAGGATAGGCGGTAGGTAGCCTTAGCAATCAGACCGGTAAGCCTAATTCACACTCAGACTGGTAGGTCTGATTGTCAATTGATACTAAAAAAGCGTCTTTTCGCTTACACACACCACAAGTCACTACACAGCACTTCTTGTGAAATTGTAATTAAATTACAGTTTTAATTGAATTGAAAGATATGTTACGAAAATAAATCAACGCAAAAGTTCACTGAACCAATTTTATAAACATAATGGCGGGAGGGGAGGACAGGCAGGGGACGGGGTTCCTAAAGAGAGGTTTTGATATTGACTGTTCATAAAGTGTGAAGATCGGGGGGGGGGGTGAGTAACTGTCATGTTCTACATGAGGGCTCCACAGACTTATGGTGTAAATTTTTTGGCCTAAGACGACACCCCGTGGCGTGGTCACAACACAACACGGCAGATAAGTATAGTTCTGCCATAATGTTATCTGGTTTTTGGTGAACGTAGGTAGATTAAATAAACAGTCTTTGTAACGTATCTTCTATGCGGCAGAACAGATACAGATCTTGGGCGAGACAGATTACCTGAATTCGGACGCTAATTTTAACCTTGTATGTTACAATCCAGCTGACGATGGCGGGTTCGAAATTGGCGCATACCTCAACAAAATCTGCCAGACGCCCAACATCGACGCGCTGGCGCAGCGGGGCGTGATTTTCAATAACGCATTCACCTCCGTCAGCAGCTGCTCTCCAAGGTATCACAAGAACTGTTCACGTAAACTCATATATCATATAGTATATTCAAGTATATCTAAGGTCAGGCCAGGGATCCGGCGATAATACAGCAGAAAAGATATTCTTTTCTCCCCCAACAAATACATTCGTAATTGTATCCCACTCATGCCTTCACTTCGGAACTTCACATTGCTATTCGTATTTGCTATTTGTAAACTTGACAACAGTCTCTCCTTTTCATTCACTATAGAGCATGAAAAGGACAACCTGATGTCAAAATGTATGCAATGTGGTGCTTATTTTCGAAAATTGACGGTAGTAACTATATCCCTTTTTTGCGCTATTACAGGGAATAAAAAGGGGAGACAGTTGTCAAGTTTACAAATAGCAAATACTAATGGCGAATATGTGAAGTGCCGGAGTCCATTCAACCGCATCGCTCGCCGAGGAGAGAAGAGGAGGAGAAGTTAAGCAACTTTCTTGATAGCCAGTTTTAGGATGGGTGACTAAAAAAAAGATATTATATTGAGCTCCTACGTGCTTCGGACGGCACGTCAATTCTTTGGTTCTGGCTGCTGTAGTCGTTAGCATCCACCAATCGCATGTATCTCCTGTATCTCCCTATTCCATACTTATGGAAGGATTGTGTCTCGGCAGTGGGGACATGAATAGACTGACGACGATGAATGATTTTTTGTAGCCGCGCTGCGCTGCTGACAGGCACCCCCAGCCACCAGAATGGCATGTATGGGCTGCATCACGGCGTGCACCACTTCAGCTCCTTTGATAACGTCACCAGCCTGCCCGCCATCTTGCGCCAGCACGGCGTCTATACAGGCACGTACAAGTTACCTTAAGCGCTTAAAATAATACAAAAACCACACCGTAACTTAATATTTATTCTGAGCTAAGTTCGGGGTTAACAACCTGTTAATCAGCTGGAAAAGATTTCTTTAGATTATAAAATACGGGGTGTACGGTACATCTAGAGTTGATATGATACGAGTAAGTATAAGATGATATAAGAATTTAAACTATTTATTACTATACTATTACTTATCTTTTTTACCCATTAATGTATTCGACACGGTATATTTTGGGCATGGAAGGATACATTTAGCTCGCAGTCGAGTAGAGATGTTGCGCCGGGATCTCACATGTATTTATTAGTGATGTAAGGAATGTTTATATCTAAAGAAAAGTTTACTAGAAAAAAATAAGATTTAAGTAGCAGTTAAATGCTTAAAAAATAAAAACGTAAGGAATCAACTCCTGTTAACTACTTTGCCACGTTAATTTGTGGGTGCTTAAAATATTTTCAGCATGAGGAGTTACTGTTAACCAGTTGCTACCTTACTACGTATCATATTACCTATACTTGTTTTTATGCCTAAACAGTAGGACACGGCATTCCTAAACTTTTTTCATTTTTAAATCTGTTTTTTATATTTTTTATTTTATAGTCATAATTGTTTTATCATTTACATTTGTAATGGAAAGTGACTTCATGAGTTATCTCATATTGAAGTCATCATATAATACTTACAGGGAGAAAAAAACAGCCCTTGCTGAGTTTCTTGCCGGTTCTTCTCAGTACAAGGTCTCCCGCCGTAGATTTGCGAACCGATGGCGTAGCTTTTCGACATTCACAAGTGCTTGTAACAGCCTAGACTGAATAAACGATATTGAATTTTGAATTTTTTACTCTGGTATGAACGCAGGGATCATCGGCAAGAAGCACGTGGGTCCCGCGGAGGTGTACCGGTTCGACTTCGAGCAGACGGAGGTGAACAACCCCATCAACCAGGTGGGCCGGAACATCACGCACATGAAGCTGCTGGCGCGCCAATTCCTCGCCGACGCAAACCAACAACAAAAGTTAGTATAGCCGTAGAAGACGTATATCAATTCAATTCAATTTATTGCACTCATGTGGTTACATCGATGGTTACAAAATGCTTATAGTACCTAACATGAACCCTGTCAGGTTATCGCAATATACAGTCTTAAAGATAAAAATTACAAAAGAATTTAATTAATAAGCAATTATGTATATAAGGAACCTAATTTGTATTAAACCACTTATATCTCAAATTATGCATAAATGTCATCTGATTCCATTAGTTTAACAATATAACTTAATCAATTGATCTTATTAACAGTGGAAATATAATAGAAATGGAAATTCATTTATAAAATAAATTAAATTTGTCAGTAATTAAAATTAATAAATATGTCAATAAAAATAAAATATATGTCAATTAAAATGATTACTAGGTTTGTATTTTAAAAAATCGCCTCATTAATATTATTTTGTTGTAAAGTATTCATTTATATATATTAAAAAGTATATTTAAAAGCATATACCTAATATCTATAGCTACGAAAACTATCTATGCCTAGGTACTGTCGGTTTGTGAGAGTCGACAAGTTTTCTAATGCATATATGATCCGCCACATCAGACCGGCCAACCCCGCCTTTATTAGGTGTACCTAATTTGTGTCTTTTAAGAGGCAGGATAATGTCACACCACCTAATGAGCCTCGCATCTTGCTGATCTCAATAAGCCTCCATACTTATTGCTGCTGTCGTGTTTCAATGTTGGTAACTTCGATTTGTTCGTAAGTTCCTATGCGCTCTTCCTTTTTTGAGAAGTTAGCGCAAGTCAGTAGACGAAATGGATGGTTGGGGACGTACGCAGACCCGTCTTTCCCAGGGGGCACTTTGGGCAAGTGTCCAGGGTCCCGCGATCGATAGGGGCCCAACTCAGATCACAAATACAAAATTTTATTTATTTATTTATTAGCTCACAAAACAAGTTACAATTATAAAAAAAAAACCAAAGCAATTACAATAATAGAAAACCAAACTGTAACTCTAAATATGTGGGCATAACATGATTAAATTTTTATGGGCCGAAGTTTACACTAAAGAAAGAAAAATATATAAATTGAATTTCAACAATTATCAAACAAAAAAAAGTCACTTAAATAATATAATACTTAAATAAATCCCTAGTTCCTGTTAGATCACGGGGAAACGGGGGTCATAGGAGCCCCATTATCCTAATATGCCCAGGGCCTCCAATGACGGCACTAGATGTAGGTGTGCACGGGAAGTCGTTAAACTGAAAGCTACGCATCGTCGCGCTCGCTATAATGAGGGCTACCGTTTTTTGTCTCACCAGATGGCGCCACTGTTGAGTGAGGTCCTGAATTGTAACTTTTAATGTTTATTAATACGCGCGTGAAATCAAAGTATACATTTAAATCATATTTTAATACAAAAGAACCGTATTCTAAACATAATTGGCCATACCACAGTGTTGCGCAGCTCCATTTTGTACGGCAAAAAGGAGGACATAATTATTTTTCTTAGCTCCGCTTTTAAATAACTGACATTCGATGCCACGTAACTCATATTTGCTATAATTAAGCCGAGTTATTACTAAATATTCACAACATTATTTTAATTAGAAATAAACCCGCGTAGTCAACCCACAACCGATAACATTTGACATTTCGGAGACCTCACGCTACACAAGCGCCTCTAGTGGCGGATTCATACGCGATAGCCCTCATTGGCCGCCATTAAGTATGAATCTCATTCGGGCAGGCCTTTCTTCCTGTACGTGGGTTTCCACGACCCGCACCGCTGCGGGCACCACGAGGCGCGGTTCGGGGCCTTCTGCGAGCGGTTCGGCTCCGGCGAGGAGGGCATGGGCCTCATCCCCGACTGGAAGCCCTGGTACTACCAGTGGGACGAGGTGCAGCTACCCTACCATGTACAGGTAACCTACCCTACCTACACCCTTAGATTAAAACAAAAAGCGTAGATACGGTACGCTCATACTTGCATCAAACAAAAACTGATCCCACGGCAGCGCGAACGGGACGGCGAGATCCGCGTCACTGCATTACTGACCCGAGCGAAACGGCACGTTAAGTTTCAACGGCAGAGCGAACGAGACGGCGAGATCCGCGTCACTGCACTACCGACCAATCACGCGACCAGTACTCGACGTCACTACCGAATAAGATTTAAAACAAACAGCAATTTTTATGAAAAATTATATTTTATAGTACTTACCAATGAAAAGTGATGCCGTGGGTTTTATTTTTAGTTCTTGAGCAATTTGAGCACTTTTTAAGAACATACTTAGGCATTGTTTTATCATATAAACACAAAATATTATCAATATTTCTTTTTGGCGTTCACATGTACGTCGTTTGCATGTCAAGTTGTGACTAAAGCGATTAGGGTCGTGGACCACAATTCATGCGGATCACTTTTGTGAGGCTTTTTGTTTTAATCTAAGCCTACACCTTCATCTGCTGTAATAACAACTTAGGTACTGTATGTAGGGTTCTCCAGAAAGGAGAACGCGGGGAACGTAGTTCAAAAATACTAAAATAAGAACACAGGATTCTTAACTGGGTTTATTTGAATTCAGGAAAATGTAAAATACAATTAAATATGATCAACCGATCGAGTCTGCGCCTGAATAGGGATGATGACTAAATTTTTTTTTCTTCGTTTATCAGGTAGATTATCAAAAAGTATTGGACACGTATTTTTTCTTTTTTCACATAATATAAACATTGCAGAGATATATTGATTTGAAAAGTCGCATGACGTCACGTTTGAGTACACTTATAAGTGAAAATTCACTCAAAAGTGACGTCACGAGCCCCTACTCCCAAACTTTGACGCGCTATAACTTTGTCATTTTTTGGTTGATTGCCCAAAGAAAAAATACGTGTCCATTATTTTTTGATCATCTAACTGACGGACTAAATAGAATTTCGTTTACTGTACCCTGTCATCACCCCTATTCAATTAATTCATCAGAAGGTTCTTACATTCGAATCTTTAAAATAATGACATTTACTTTTAATACACCTGCCAGCCGTTAGCATTACATAAGCAAAGAGTTTATACTTGAAGCAAGGAGGCCGGAACGCTACGAGCGTTACAATATCTAATGTTTTTAAGCGAGATTTACTTCGTAGTTGCCAATTTTTAGGACACGGAAGCGGCCAGGAGGGATATCGCCGCGCAATACACGACCATGTCGCGACTCGATCAAGGTAGGTCCGACCTTTCGTGATTCCATAGTTTATTAATGTTTGTTGTTGTTACTTCATCTCGTAGGATTTATTATTTATAAATTCATGACCAATCAAAGTAAAAATAGATAATCGCTTGCACTTTGACTGACCTCATTCAAGTATTTTGTTTGTGTTGTGTGTTTTTTACGATAAGTTACGGTCACGGTGAGGTGCACTCGGAGATTTTGTTTGATTTCGCTACTGTTATTTTGTACCTAAGCAAAGCAATTAAATGTAATTAAAAACTCTAAGCGTAGTCGATACATTTCAAATCCAAAATATAGACTTGCAACGAATAGTATATTCGGCAGTATACCGAATATTCGGCGAGGCCCCCGACCGAATAGCCGAATATTAGGCAAAAGTATTCGGCTGGATTTTAGCGCCAAAAACTTGTACAGACGTGATTTTTTCGCGTTTCTTTGTTTTGTTCTAATCTGTCGTCCTCAAGCTAAAATGCGGCTAAATGGCAAAACCAACTTTTGAGATATGGCCAAAAACGGCGCGTAAACTTTAAATTATTGCTATTAAGTAATTATTCATCACATGACTGAATGCATTAAAAACTGTTAACTTGTTTAATACAGAAAATGATTAAATTCTGTACCTGTTTTATGCACCAATGACTACTTAATAAATGATTATAAAAGAAATGAGAACCTTACCCTTTTAAATTTTGATTACCACAATACATAGAATCCTCCATTTTTCCAATTCAGAAGATGATTATGTACCTGTGTGATGAACCGATGACTACTTAAATGATCATATAACAGAAACGAAAATATGAATAGGTATATACGTAATCGATCGATTTAAATTTTTCATTTTACCAATTATTTCTCTAAGTATTCGGTATTCGGCCGAATATAATAAAAGCAGCCGAATAGGCCGAATACCGAATAGTAACCGAATATTCGTTGCAAGTCAACCAAAATATGATCGAATAACTTATCAAGTCACCTGGATTGAAAATAAACGTTAAGCCCCGAACTATCGTTAGGCGTAGCGCTCCTGCTAAAAGAGTTAGAGGCGTCCGGTCACGCGGACGACACGCTCGTAATGTTCACGTCGGACAACGGCATCCCGTTTCCGTCGGGGCGCACCAACTTGTACCAGGCGGGGCTCCGCGAGCCGCTCGTGATGGTGTCCCCGGAGCCCCGCGCGCGCCGCGGCCAGGCCTCCGGCGCCATGGTCAGCCTGCTCGACCTCGCGCCCACGGTGCTGGATTGGATGGGTGTTCCGCAACCGCAGCAGGAATCCAATGAGATACTCCAGCCTGATCGGCCGAAGAGTTTGCTGCCTATACTCGAAAAAGGTTTGTAGCTTTTTCCCTGTGAATCCTAGCAAATATAGCTTGAGGAGTTCGCTGGCGCGAGTGGTAAGCGCGTTCGGCTGCGATCGTTGAAGTTGAGCAACTTTTGCAGTGGTCGGTCATTGGATGGGTGACCAAAAATTTACTATCTCGAACTCCTCCGTGCTTCGGAAGGCGCGTTAAGCCATCGGTCCCGGCTGCATCTGCAGTCGTTAGCACCCCGCACTGGGCCCGCGTGGTTATGGTCCAATCTCCCTATTCCATCGATAGGGAAGGCCTGTGCCCCAGCAGTGGGGACATTAATAGGCTGACGATGATGATGATGATGATAGCTGAGAGATTGGATGGTCCGATTCAGAAACATTAGGTAAGCACCCATGTTATTGAGTCGGATCGTGCTATCAAATAAGTAATTATATTGTATATACAGCTTTATATTGTATTTTTTCCGTATATAAAAAAAAATACTAACATAGATAAAGGCGTATTGTTACTCACACTTAAGGATTTTTAATGGTCCGAAATATATGTTTTTATTATAATTTGACCTGAAAACCTCCGTGACGAGTGGTTAGTACGCCGGGTTTCATGGTGTCGCCGACTCGAGAGGTCCCGGGTTCGAATCCCGGTGGGGGCAGATGTTTGCGTGATGAATACGAGCATTTGTACTCCAGTCATGGATGTTTAATATGAATTTCTTTAGTTACATATTGTAAACGTCAAAAAAGTTAGCGAATAAGCCGGCAGAGCACACGACGGAACTAGGTGTCTAATATGGTCAGCCAACTGGACTGCACGAACCTTGATTTAACTCCAGGCTCACAATCAAAAACTTGCCGTGAAATTTTTATTCATTTCTTCTGGTTACATGGAAGGCCAACAGCTTAATAAACTAAGCATTTATTATTTAACTAGGTATTTGACAAGTTTTAGAAAATGATCTCACGTTATTGACTAATGTTTCTGGAGTATATTCATCATTCTGTTGTGTATTTCAGTAAAAATAACTAAATCAAAAACTCAATTTTCTAGTTGCCGCGAAAACGTTTCTCTGGACAATATGGCGTCTTACTAATGTGTGATGTCACACGACTGTTATTAAAACGTCAAATAATACAATGTAATGTCACTTTAACCGGAAGTTTACTTGCGTGTGACGTTATTTTAGGCTCTGCCAATCCCTAGCGTTTTGGGTCACGTGACAATAGAAAACTATTATCTTTTTCGTGGTTTTTTAGTAAAATTATGATTTTTTTTAAAACCCCTGTCAATATTCATTCTAAACACAGATGCTAACAATCGGCACTTTATTTTTAATACTGTCAAATACCCTATTACAGGTCCTCACATCTAGACATAACTTAAAGTTAAAAATAAACTGTCTGTCACTGTCCAGTGTAAAAATACTCCTAAATATAGTTTTATAAATGAGGTCATTATGATAAATAACAGAATAACAAATTACACACGTGTTAATTATAATCTCCAAAAAACAAACGAGCAATTAAACGTATAATCGACGCTTCGCTAGTGTTGAAAAGATCTACATTTACCTGTTTTGATAGTAATTTGAAGCTGCTACTTGCTCGACGAAGTAAAGCGTTATTTAAGCGCTTAGATTAAAACAAAAAGGGTAGATACGGTACGCTCATACTTGCATCAAACAAAAACTGATCCCACGGCAGCGCGAACGGGACGGCGAGATCCGCGTCACTGCATTACCGACCCGAACGAAACAGCACTTAAAGTTTCAACGGCAGCGCAAACGAGACGGCGAGATCCGCGTCACTGCATTACCGACCAATCAGGCGACCAGTACTCGACGTCACTACCGAATAAGATTCAAAACAAACAACATTTTTTATAGCACAGTGTGACCTAAACCCGCACTTTACGCACGCTTTTCCGTGACCTAAGTTGCCTATTTCTGCACGGTGTGTAAATGAATTGACCAACTACACTCATGTAGAAAAAATAAAAGGAAACACATTTAAATGTCATTTGGAGCTTAAAAACTCACAGCAAACAAATGACAAATTAGCGATAGGTTAGGGATTTTCAGTGACAGCCAAAACAAGGAGAAACGTATTTGTTTCTTAGGTTTTCACGCACATCACTCATTAAATAAAACTAGTTTAAACGGGATAATGCACGAAACTTTATTTATTTATTGACGTTTCGTAGCCTTTCCAGGCTTCGTCGTCAGAATAAAACTTTTGTTTAATTTGTCGAGCTACCTTCGAAAGACTTTTATTGAGCGTTTGGTTATTTCATCGTTCGATTTTTAAGTTTTATTGTCTATGTATGAATTTATTATTTAATTTACTTAATAAAGTATTTTATTTAAAATTCTTGTTTGTAATTTTGCGTTTATTTATTTGACCCTAACTACCGTAAACTACCACCGGTTCCAAAATTGGGAGACCTTCCTGAGAAGAACCGGCGAAACAAACTCAAGAGAGGCTTTCTATCTCCTTCTTATGTTAAATTATGCAAACAAAAAGAACTAATAGTATCTGATGGTCTTGCAGTATGTGCTCGGGGTTGGGATTTTATCTCCTGTATAATAGGTTCCCAAGCTGGTGGTATATACCAACCATCTTCCCTATTGAAATTTGGATATTTTTTAATCTCAATAGCCTCGCGCATCATTCGAGGAACGAAACGCCGCTCAGCTGCATTTATTTTTCGTGCATTATCCCGTTTAAACTAGGTAGTTTTATTCAAGGAGAAACGGTTAGCTATAATTCATTCCGCGAGAATTGTATCTTTGTTTAATATATTGTTATGCCAATCAAGGAATAAACGTTCATGGATACATTGAAATTCTATTTTGTTGTAATGATATTTGATTTTTTCCTTTTGAAATATACTTTCAAAATGGTAATCTGAACCGGAATTCTTTCTTTTCAGAGTTTGACTTGCAGTCTGTATTGCAATTCTTTGTGATTGCAATACATGAATTTTACTTTCAAAACACTAATCGAACCCCCCCTCTTGCCCGCGTCCGGGGCGGGTTTATGTCACACTTGCTATAAAATAGTATACGATACTTGTGGCCTAAGTTCTCTATTACTGCACGGCGTGAAGTTAGCGCCCGAGCGGAGCGAGTTAGCACCCTCGCACCGCTCGGGCGCTAACTTCACGCCGTGCAGTAATAGGCAACTTAGGTCACGCGTATCGTAATGTACTAATATGAAAAAATCTATTTTATAGTACTTACGAATGAAAAGTGATGCCGTGGGTTTTATTTTTTGTTCTTGAGCAATTTGAGCACTTTTTAAAAACACACTTAGGGATTGTTTTAGCATATAAACACAAAATATTAGCAATATTTCTTTTTGGCGTTCACATGTACATCGTTTGCATGTCAAGTTGTGTACCCTTTTTGTTTTAATCTAAGTTTAAGCGTTGACTTTTTCATTTACTAAGGGTGACAAACAATCACCTAAATAGCTCGCCTGGTGGTACGCGACCACTAGCGCTCTGTCTTCTCTGATTTTATCCTCTCTGGTGGAGCTCTAGACTGAAGTTTTACTCACCAACAGAATCACATTACTAATTGACATTGATTTTTCTTTTTTGAAAGCTATGTTGTAATTGTTAAATAATCTATAAATTTGCCGTGCCCTTACAGGGCTCTTGTGTGCAACCTAACCATACTTGCAACACCTATGTATACAACAAGATGCAATAAATGAATATGAATAAAGACCTCGTAACTGTAACCCATTTATATAGTTCTAGCCTCTTACAACGCTACGAACGTTAAGTTGAAAAACCACCTACAAAGTAGGTAGGTACTGCGGAGTTCTAGCCAGAGTGGATAGAACCTGGGGACGTAACTACTAATTAAAAGATACTGGACTTTTAAAGATATTTATTTGATTCAGGCGAATATAATTATTTTTATCTAAGCTACGCAAGGGTTGGTGCCTGAAGATCGTCTCTTGTATGGAACCTTCTATCAAAAGACAGATGATTCCTTATTTCAAATCTTAAAATCATGACATTAACTTTTTAATATAACTGCCAACCGTAGGCATTGCAAAAGCAAAGAGTTTACCTAAACAAGGAGGCTGCAACGTAACGGACGTTACAGTACCTACTTGATTCGCAAATGCAACGTGGAAGACATTACATTGGCAGAAAGCTCAGTTGTTAGTAGATAAAGTCGAATGAGGGCTGCTAATGCGAAGATACATTTATAATACTTGTTTCTTAGGTTTCACGCACACCACTCATTAAATAAAACAGAAATAGATGCTTTTTTTTATGACGTGAAGTTTTTATAAATAAATAAATCGGTGCATCTGCACCCGCCGCGTAGTTTATTGGGGATTTTTCCCGCAGTAAAACGTAGCCTATGTGTTAATCCAGGGTGCCGGCTAACTACATACGAAATTTTACTAAAAACGCTCTAACCGTTTAGACGTGAAGAAGTAACAAACATACACACTCACAAACTTTCGCCTTTATAATATTAGTGTGATTAGTGTGATAAAACAGTGCATCTACTCTGTTGAAACTTGTTTTATTTAACACATTTATTTAAATCTAAAGAAATGTTTACTAGAAAAAAAATCCACGCGGACCAGGCAGCGGACGGGACTCGAACCCGCATCCTTCGCAATCCGGGCGAAAGCACTGACCATTATGCTACCACGGCCCTAATAGCCGCGTCGAAATTTTCCTAGCCTTAAGCTGCAAGGCAGCGCCATCTCTTCGCATTGTAGGTAACCCACAATGTCAAATGAATACTTTATCAAGTATTAATAAAAACATTCGAAAGAAGAAATAGCAATTATAGTTATGATTTTTATTTACTTATTTTTAAGCATTTAACTGCTGTTTTTTCTAGTAAACTTTTCTTTAGATTTAAACATCTAGCAGTTAAATGCTTAAAAATAAATAAAAATCATAATATTTACTCAAGTTTAGATATTGATAGGTGATTGTTGTGAGTGGTCGGTCCCTCAGAGCCGCCGTACTCGGCCAGTGAGGCGGTGTTCGCGTCGCAGACGCACCACGAGGTGACGATGTACTACCCGATGCGCGCCGTCATCACGCGCCGCTACAAGCTCATCCACAACCTCAACTTCGGCATGCCGTTCCCCATCGACCAGGACCTCTACGTGTCGCCCACCTTCCAGGTGAATAATACTTACAAAATCATCATGGCCAGGGCCGGATTTAGGATTGTGTAGGCCCCGGGCCACTTAGGATTTGCATGCTTGTTGACCCATCGAAATTTTGTTATTTCTTAAGCTGTTGTGGAGGCCGCTGGGCCACAGCCCCACCTGCCCTGCCTTTGATTCGGCCCTGAGATTAATATAATCAAATAATCATGTATGTTAGATGTACAAAGTACTGTAGGCTGTAGGTAAAGGTAAAATAAAAAAAAAATATCAAAGGAAAAGATGTTTACTAGTTGGAATTTGAAAGATTTTTTTTCCGAAGTCTCTATTGTGGGGGCCCCCCGTTTGTGGAGACCCCGGGGCTTTCGCCCCGGTTGCCCTCCCCTAAATCTGGCAGTGATCATGGCCGACTTTAACATATTGGAGGCCCTGCGCAGGATAATGGGGCCCCTATGACTTTAATGTAGATTATGACCTGAAATGGAGCGATTCATACTGATAAGTGTACTACTGATGAATTTTCTTTAAAATTTGTATGTGCTTAGTATACAATTATATGTATATTTAAATTTATCTAAGCATGCTGAAGTCGGAAAGCTAAATTTTAGGGCGACAGTAGAATAGCTTCGCTTATGTAAAAGCTAGTAAGTTGGTATTGTAGTCAGTTATTTAGGTTCGATTTCATCGAATTATATAAGTTTTTTTGGTAATAAATATTGGTTATCGTTTGGTGATCTGACAGGAACTAGGGTCTTTGTATTTGATCTGAGGGGGGCTCCTATCGATCGCGGGGCCCTGGACACTTGCCTAAAGTGTCCACTAGGAAAGCGGGGTCTGCAAATCATGGTGGTGGGACCGCGAGGAGCTTGCAATAAGTATAGTATCTAGCTAATTGGAGACAACGAACGAAGAAGCGGAAATTCCCTGCGCGTGCGCCGAATAATGTAAACATTAGCTTAAAGTTTTTTTAATGTTGAGAACCTACGAAATGAAGTCACAGAACGCTGTTAGCGCAAGGATCCGAGTCGTCTATGCTTTAAGGCTCAGTCAGGGTAGGCGGGGCTGATGCCCAGCTGCTCGCACAAGAGAGATAAAAATTCGCCTTCATTAGGGGCCTTCACACCTTCGTTGCCCCAAGGCTTCGCACCTCTTAATCCGGCGCTTACCTCCAGCCGTGATATTAATAAAAAGTCTTGATTTTTGGTCGAACCTTTTTAAGAACCCAAGTAGAGTAAATAAATAAATATAAAAAAGCAAGTGTGCTTATGACCACACGACTGAAGTGAAACTTCCTTAGCTCCAATGATCTGAAAATCATAAACTTAACCTGAAGATTTGTTGATAGAAAAAAAACCAACAAATCCGCACTGGGTCCGTTATCACCCACCAATCCGCACTGGGTCCATTGTCACCCTCCCATCCTCGTTGAGTCCGTTATCACCCATCAAGCATTAAGTAGATTCATGTGTTTTGTGACGGGTATTGTTCATTGTTTACCGACGAGTCACCGATGACACTAATCGTAACGCAAAAAAATCGTAACACATTCGTCAGTTTACCCCCCAAGTCAAGCGTGCCTAAAGAAGTTTCACTTCAAATAATTCCATTTTTCTTCTAAGTACTTCTTAAAACTAAATTTAACATCGGTCTCTCTTTTTGATTCTGTATCGAGAATGATAGGGATACACTGTAGTCAAATTTAAGTTTAGCTTTAGAGAATTATGTCAGAATCAACACCACTGCAGGCCTGTGCTATGGGACTTTATTTTATTTATTAAGGGACAAAAAACGGTTACAATATGTGTATGACTAAAGACTATTATATGTGGTACCATGGTACCGTAAAATCTAAGGTGATATTGTAACCCACAATATTATCCACAAATTATTAAATAAACAGTGCCTTGCTGATGTTACATTCAGTGAGAGTAAACATAACACTGTTATAATCCTTATGCTTAACGATAATTTTAACAAACAAAAAGTAATTACATTTATATTTTTTTTTTTTTCTAGTTTTTTTTCTAGTTATATTTTCTTTAGTAATTACATTTTTCATAAACTAATCGGTAATATTTTATAATTATATATTTTATCACTACATCAAAAATAAAAAATAACTACACTAAGCGAGTTTAATACATATAAATATAGATGCTATGTCTCTATATTTATTATTTTAATAACATCATACCTCAATTTATATTTTGTTTTTGAAAATATATCCACTTCTGCAAACAAAGTGTTATAATGGGATACCAGGATAATGTACAGTACTAATAGCATGTGTTCTTATGAGAAACATAAGGCTCCGAATTGATCGTATGTCTGTATCAGGATATCCTGAATCGCACGCGCAACAAACAGCCGCTGCCGTGGTACAAGAGCCTGCAGCAGTACTACTACCGGCCACAGTGGGAGCTCTACGACCTGCGCCACGACCCCGCCGAGCTCAACAACCTGCACGGTACGTAGCAGCATCAGGCTATTAATGTCCCCCTGCTGGGGCACAGGCTTCCCCATGGATGGAATACGGCGACTGGGCCATGACCCACCACGCGGACCCAGTGCAAGTGGCAGCGCGTTGGTTGGATGGGTGAATAATATTTTATTATCTCGCACACCGAGAGGTAGGTACGTTTGGCCGTCGGTCTCTACTATAGATGTAAAACGACCGATTTAAAACGTTTTAAACCTCAAATAAATCGTTTTAAACGGTGGAAAACTGGCATACAAAAATAATAGAACTATGTTTTTTACACTTCATTATGTTTTATTTTTTATTTTGTACTAGTTCTTTATTTACAGTCATCATAGATAACAAACCCCTATGATAAAGATACAAAAACTACATGCGAACGTACCTACAATCAGGGGGTCACTTTTAGAGATGTTAACTGTTATTGTCAGCAGACTCCATTAACCCCCCCCCCCCCCCCCCCCCGTTGTATTGGCGCCTGAGGAGTGTGCGTGCGCGGCGCGGGCGGCCGGCAGTTTATGTATGCGCATGTGTGTGTAGGGTAGGCATGGAGCACCCCCACTAGAGTCCGCATACAAGGGCAAGCGCTTACGCCAAGCTTAAGTAGTATATTACGTATGCGTGAGACACGCCCACAGACGTCGCTATACATCGTTTCATTCCGATGCCGAGCGTTAGCAGAAGTGCTTCTCTCGTTTTTGCGTTAAAAAACTAGAAAAAATGCCGTACTGTGCAATTAAATTATGTGGAAAGTGGAGTAAAACTTCCAGTCTTCAAAAAGATGGTATTACTTTTCACCGGTAAGTTTAAATGCATTACAAAAAGACAAAAATACTCTTATATGAAATTGCTTTTAATTGTATTTATTTTTTGGTGAACGCGTTGATGTCTTTTAACACTATCCCTTTCTCGCATGCGCTACATCATATATGCTATTCCGCTCTCACACCGGCACGTGTATTGCTAGTGACTTGACGCAGCTCATGTCTGTACCCGTAAGTTTATCGATAAGTTTGTCAGCTACGGAAATAGAAAAAATAAATAAAAACTATTTATTTCATCGTATACAATAACAGATATCATGAGTATACAACCAACAGTTTTTAATCATATCGTACTAAAATTTTAAACCCGAAAATTTGTATGGATGTTTGTTACTATTACACGATTAAACCGATTTGTATGAAATTAAGTGCGCATACTTTATGACCTAGATAAAGACATGGAATTAACGATATTAAATACCCTAGATAGACCACGAGCGCTCAAAATGTGTCCCAATCAAGAAGTGCTTAAACTTTATTCAAGCACTTCTTGGTTTACAGTCACGCGCGGACCGATGAAAAGTCAAAATGCCGCAGAGCTCCGTAAAAATGCGAAAAAAATACTAATAGTACGTAAAGTGTTGTTTTTTCGACAGGTATCTAATTAATGTTTTTATAATTTGGTACATAGTCATCTTTATGTAATACAATAAGTTATTTATATAATTTGAGCCAAATAAACGTTTTTATTATTATTATAAATTTAACGCATTTGAAGCAAATTTTATTGTAATACTTACTATAAACTGATTTAATATAACATATTTGTGATACTCAAAAGCATGGTCGGTTATACGTCGCCCTATAGCCGTCTTTTTTCTTCGCGGTCTGTACCTGCTATAATAGCTAACAGCACATTCAGAATTGAGCGCGAAAAGTTAAAAAAATAAGGTCTATTTTCTTTCGCATATAACAATAAGTCGTAAAATTTTAGGAACTTGCATTTTGAACTGCCATAAATCTTCGATGCATGCGTTTTAATTAAGAGCTTATGCCGTATGCATTAAAGGTGACTTTTTTTTAAATAATGCATTACATTGTTTTTGACCACGCGATCATCTTACGGACCTCTGTGAATCGTCAAATGTACCTTTTGGTCACGTTTCGGCCACGATTTTGTACATGTTGTCGTATCTAGGGTATAAAATATCGTTGTATAGAATACTTTTTGTAACGGAAAAATGTCAGGTTTCTTTAGGATTTTCAAAAAACTAAAGTTAACGTGGATGAAGTCGCGGGTGGTAGCTAGCATAAAATTTGATAAGTATTTACCAAGTTCCTTCAAAATCAATAATTTGGTTATACTTAGGTTATTTTGCGTGTGCTAAGTCAAGAGCCACGGACGTCACCGTATTAATGTTAAATTCATTAAGTCTGTATATCGCATGTGCCTTTCACGAGAACAGCAACGAGCAAAATCTTTAAAGAGATATTTAAGGTGATATCTTACAGACTGATGCGAGAATCAAAATACAGTAACATTACGTGTTTTATTTATTTCATAGGTTTCCAAAATGTGCCAAGATGAAGGAACTTTGGATAAGTGCAACTAAACGTAAAGATTGGACTCCAACTGTAAACAGTTACATAATTATGTTCTCGTCACTTTACCACTGACAGTCACTCCCGCAAACAAAACGAACCTGAGTAAGGCGCCTTAAGTTTTAAAAGTTGTCATAAACAGCATATTATTGTCTATCAAGATATTTTTTTTACGTGTTTTTTGTGTTGCATATATTTTATTTAGTATGTAGTTACTAGTCGCGTCATATAATTAGAACGCTGGAAGAAAGTGGAGAGAGTATGTTTGCGCATAGCTACACTAGCGCACCAAAGTACTAGGCCTCTGTACAATGGAGATCCGGCACTTTTCATAGAAAAAATGCTAAACTTGTATACAGTTGAATTTGGTCTCAAAATGAAGCCAAAATTATTTGCTCATTAAACTAATTTTGCCTTATTTTTAGTGAATCGTGGAAAGAAGTTATATAATGATTAATATTTTTTGATATGGAAACCCTAAATCTTCAAGGGACAGAATTTTACTTGAAATATTACTCAAGTGACTGTAAAAACCATGATTCCTTTGCTTTTTCTAAATAAAAAACCAAATGTCAATTTGACAATCCTAAAATACAAACAAAAAAATCATTCGCTCCCGCGTACTGTGATTGTGAATGTTCTCTGCTGTGATTGCCTTTTTATCCGTTATTTCTCTTGACGACCCGGCTACATATAGAGGTTATATTGACAAACCTACGTATTTGACATTGACAGCTAGCTGCTGATGACAAATATTGCCAGACTACGTTACCCAATTATGAAATACAGATAAAAAAGTATACAACTTTGGCACATAATGCCGGGTGTTCTTTATTTATCGATATAAAATATCGATATTTTCTAAAATCGATCTTACCCTCATCACTTCGCTGCACTGAGTATATCATCTGACCTTGACGTGTCCAATCACAACGCGGCTGATCTCCCTGCACGCCACCGACTTTGGCGATTTTGATTTCAAACAAAATTTGCGTGATGCGGACTCTAGTGGGGGTACTCCGTGAGGGTAGGCCAGTGGGACACGTTTGCGTCGAGTAACGACGAGTGACGTCAACGAGAGTGTGAGTTTGGTTTTAAATCGAATCAAATTGATTGAATTGTTTTTTTTTATTTTTTATTATTATTATAACGGCTCGCACGGTTTGTGCATTGGCCACGACAGGGTAAAAGGTAAGGAAACTAAATATCGTTTGAAAACAATTTTTTTTTATTTACTAACAGAGTTTCTAACTTATGACAAGAGTTTTTATAACTTAGGTAGGTAATACCTATGCTTGGTCGCGGATGGACCAACTAGAACTATCGCTAAGTATATCAATATCAGTAAGTATATCACACATTTAAAAAAATCTATATACAGTTTATAGGTACTCCGTTATATTCCTACCTCGGTAAAATCAAGACAATGTAGTTATAATTAAGAAAAACATAGTCATCAACACCAACCGTTTTAAATCGAAAAAAAAATGGTTTATTTCGGTTTTAAACGGTTTTTTTCGTTTTAAACGGATTGGTTTAATTGGTTTTAAACCGGCCTTACATCTATAGTCTCGACTGCATCTGCTATCGTTAGCACCCACTAATTCGTACTGGATCATGTCATGGCCCAAACACCTTATTCTATCAACAGTAGGGCAATTAATATAACGATATTGTTATTTATCAAATTATATCCCAAATTAAGACAAGTCCTCGAACAGACTTGAACCACTCTAACGAAGAAATCCGATGTCGGTAGAACTTAGGGTTGCCAACCGTCCTGTTTTCCCAGGACATGTCCTAGTTTTTGTAGTGTCCTGAGACATCCTGAATAGTCTTTAATTCTCAATTTTTGACGTGACAACGTCTTAAATTAGGTTGCGGCTGGGAGTCACTTATGAAAAAGTGTAACGCTCGGTAACGTTACGATGAGTTTAAGTTTACATGTACAATGTTTTAGTAAACAAAATATATATTCTATAGTTAAAAGGACAATGTTAAAATTGGCCTAAGAACCAACACCAATTTGGCATTTATGATAATTCTTAGTATATTTTTTGCGATAATTATCAGTATTTAGATTGTGACGGACACTTCCAGTTAAGTAAGCTAAATTAAAAAGTTGAAAAATAATCTGAGACAATAAATACCATTTTATGTGTATAATCTATGACAGCGCTGCAAACAAAACACTATTTCTTCCTAATGCCGGCACTTCACTTGGCTTAGTTTTCCAATTACAGAGCATAATGCGACTCAGTGGCGCACAATGCCGAATTATGCTGATGCTTAATTGGAACATGAATTAGTTTTCAAATGCACCAGCAGAGTGCGCTAAGTCAATGTTTGTACCTTGATCCATACTTATATTTATTTTTCTAACACAGTTTGAATTAACTTTGATTATTTTAAAAGAACTACAATGAAACAAAAGCTTAAAAAAATTTTCAACAAAACTTAAAGAGAAAACACTTGTTAATTTTCTGTCACTGAGTTGGTAGATTGCACGCATCACACGAAAACATTAGGTACTTTTGAGAGTGCTCGATTGTGCGAAGCGTTGCTGTAGTTGAAATATTCAACGTTAAGCATTATGCCGCATAATTCGCTCTAGTGCTGTAATTGGAAAACTACCCTTATTAAGCCTTAGCTTATGACAAGGACAAACTGTTGTCAAGTGAAGGGCCGGCATAAAACTCGTTACTCTGTGGTTGTGGTGCAGGCAGTTTACATTCGTAGTAATCTGTGGCATTCGTGCATTCCATTCCAAAGCGGATTACCTGTTGTGTGTGTTTATTTGCGATTGTTTTTCCTTTAATTTAACTATTTTGGCTATCTAATACCTATGCCATCAATGTTACCAAAGAGAAGAGCCCTTATCACCAAGTGCTAGTGAACCTGTGCCACAACATCCTGAGAGGATCATACTGCTTAATTATTCAAGAACACAACACCCGATACACATTCACGCTGCTTATTGACACAATATACATGTGATATACAAATAAATACAATATACAATATTATACAACTACGTGAAAAATTGTCAATAAGAACCAAAACTACAGTTTTTATTTTATTCATGATTCCTACCTCACCAAGTTTTTCCTAATAGATATTCTTTAAAATCGCACCGAATAAAATGAATTTGTTGTAATATTAAATTACTTTATACTGAGTACATACTAAGTTCATAGGTTGACCTATGTTTTATTGAATATTGAACATAACCTCAAAAACATTTTAGTTTTCCTAATAATTTAAGTTCTCAGAAGTGTCCGTCAAATATCTTTGTTTTTACAATCATTTACTTACGATTTCGAACCTAGAAAATAATATTTCATGATTGTTGGTTCTTAGGCTAACTATGTATGGACGCTGAACAATGTCCTTTGTGCAATTCTTATTTTCATTCAATTCCTTGTTCCTATTGTGCAATTTAATTATATTCATATCAATAAATATTCTACCGAGAAAAAGACGTTGTCACGTAAAATCTTCGCCCGTAAAACCGACTTTACAGGCAACCATTTTTTTTACGCTGAGTGGCCTCACGGCTCGCAAGTAATTCCGTTGCCGCACTGCCGTTACAAAACAAAGGCGCAACGTGCTCTATTATCTATGGTCGCGCAGTGCTTACTATTCCGTCCCTTTCTTGCATTAGACATACAGACAGAGCTAGCTCTCCAGTCAGATTACTATTTAGTTGTAATTTGTTTGTATAGTAAAAACGAACAGGCTACATTAACGTAAGATGTTTAAAAATATTCATGATTTTATTATAGTGTTTATTATCGTATTGTTTTATTGGTATTATTCATTCAGAGAATACAAATTCTTTTCTCCATTAATGCGTCCTGTTTTTAAACTGAATTGTCCTGGCTTTTCCAACTTCAAATCCTGTTTTTTTTTTAAATTTGAGATTTGTAACCCCAGTATAAGTTGTATCGCCGGGTATATTCAGGTAAGCCGTCTCTTGAAGCGGTGGAGGATCAGCTCCGGGCCCGCTTGCTGGAATGGCAGCGCCTCACCCGCGACCCCTGGCGGTGCGCGCCCTCCGCCCTGCTCGACGACAGCGACGCGAGTGAGTGTTATAATGCGATGCAAATAAGAATAGGAAAGCCAATGACCTCCATCTGTCAAATGTCGCTTGAAAAGTACAGTTTGCAAAAAAATCTCGAAACACTTTTTTAGCACTCAGCTAATTCTAGTTTTATATCCGGCGGTAATGCAGAGATGAGCGGAATTGAAGAGCTACATTCTGATTGTTTTTTCTCACAGTCTTAATAAAGAAATATTATTCAAAATCGTTTGCTTTTTCTCTCAATCTTAGTTAATTAATTTTATTAAAAAATCTCATGTTTTTTCTCACTTAATCTTAGTAAATAAGTTTTATTAAATAGAAACTTTTTTGTTCACTGTACAGCAGCTATGACGACAAAACATGGCGCCCAGTCGGTCCTATTCTTAGTTGAATCGGATTATACATCAAATATTGAAAAGAAATATTTCTATTCCTTTGGAGGTATTTATATTTTAATAAAATGAATATTTTCCCCATCTAGCCGAGGACCCCGTCTGCCGCAGCCTCGACAACGGCCTGCTGCGGTACCGCGGCCCCGCCTCCACCTCGCCGCCTCGCTGATGCTGCAGCTCTCATACTACAAACGTTGGGTCGCACGCGTCATAAAATACTCATCTTCTAATGTAGATTAACACTCAACATCACATTAGATAAAGATTTGAATTATAAATCCTGATGGTGTCACACCTGAGAAAATACTCATTCAATAATTTATAGGGTATAATAATAAGGGTAAATAGAAAACTTATAATTAATGACAAAGTTGTGATTATTCTAGTTTTATACTTTTGATTCTAAATCAATAAAAAGCAAATGTATATTTGCACAGAACATTTTTTTTACAATTTCTTATATATTCATATTGAATACTTTTAGTATGATTTATCTGTAAAATGGAATATACTGACTAACCTGTGCAAATTATTAAGTTTAATTTAGAACAGTTGAACTATGATAAATAAATAGACATTACTGAACTTCTTATCAACTTCTACTAACAATAAACTGTAATGTTTTAAACTTTCATGGTCACTAACATTATAGTAATATAAGTTATTAACGGGATTGTTACCATGTACCTTGTTTTTAGCGAGTTTCCGATATTTCAGTTACTCCGTGATCATGGCGCTTTGAACATGTACCTTACATGGTAACAATCCCGTAAATAACTTATATTACTATAATAAACTATAAACATGCAAGCAGATAAAAAAAAATGATAAAAACAATTTGTTTACCACAGATTTAATAAACAAATCAACATACATTTACATTTTTATTTTACATCCTTGAAACTAGGTAAGTAAAATCATAACTTAATAAATGATTCATCTTAACTATAACACTTAAATAAAGAAATAAATATTGAATAATCCTGAGACAAATAATAATAAATAGACAACATTCCTTAAATGAAAAAACAAACTTAATAGATTTAGCAACAGACAACATAATATTTAATGTGACAATAAAACTAATAGGATTAACCAGGATTAACTGACCATTATGCTACCGCGGCCCTGACGACCTTGTCGAATTTTGTGGGTTACCTACAATGCGAAGAGATGGCGCAGCCTAAGGCTAGAGAAAAATTCGACATGGCCGTCAGGGCCGCGGTAGCATAATGGTTAGTGCATTCGCCTGGATAGCGAAGGGTGCGGGTTCCAGTCCCGTCTGCTGCCTGGTACGCGTGGATTTTTTTTCTAGTAAACTTTTCTTTACATTTAAACATCTAGCAGTTAAATGTTTAAAAAAATAAAACCATAGCTAATAGGATTTATTATGATTAAAATGTGGAGAAAAAGTTATTTCAACTTTGTAACAACAATCATGCATCTTAAATTGTAATGGTTACATTTTATGTAATTCTTTAAATGCCATACTTTCAATATTTTATCATGTCAATCCAATACATTAATAATCGTTATAATAATCCTCCACCCGCTCTATGTTCCTTGCAAGATTCTGGTCAATGTGGTGTACATTGCTAATATACTTCTCCGTTTCCATAACCTGTGAAGTTTAAAAATAACTATCTGAATTTCTAATCCCACCAAACAGGAATAGGATGTGTTTAATGGGGTGAGGGCGCTCCATCTCTTAAGATAGCTCACCTCATCATCATTATATATCACAAAAATGTAATAATTTTATATAAAACTAGTTTTACGAACCGGGTTAATGCTCAAACTTTATTTATTTATTGACGTTTCGTAGCCTTTTCAGGTCTGCATCCGCAGAATAATTTTGCAATAACATAATAAAAAAATAGATAAGCAAAATTAATTACTTTAAGACTAATTGATTGGGTAGGTATATACCAATGTAGTTTTTTTTAACATAAAAATTACAAGTTAAAAATGATCTACATATTTTCATTTGGTTATAAATGAGATCAATGTAAAAAAAAATACAATCAATGGAATAAAAAGCTCATATAACTAAATGTGTTTTATGTGGTTAACTTACCACTGTCATAACATGATCGAGTCTTTAAACGGGTTAATGCTCAAACTTTATTTATTTATTGACGTTTCGTAGCCTTTTCAGGTCTGCATCCGCAGAATAATTTTGCAATAACGTAATAAAAAAATAGATAAGCAAAATTAATTACTTTAAGACTAATTGATTGGGTAGGTATATACCAATGTAAAGTTTTTTTTTAACATAAAAATTACAAGTTAAAAATGATCTACATATTTTCATTTGGTTATAAATGAGATCAATGTAAAAAAAAATACAATCAATGGAATAAAAAGCTCATATAACTAAATGTGTTTTATGTGGTTAACTTACCATTGTCATAACATGATCAAGTCTTTTGCTCTTCATGTAAAAGGTTTTGATCATCAATAGACAGTAAATATAAAGAGCAATTGCAAGAAGAACCACACCTATTTTGAGTTTGGACGACCAGTAGCTGATCATATTACCCTGAAATTAAGGATATTTCATCATGCCATAATAAAAGAAAAAGGATATTTCAAAGTATAAAGGAATAAATTTTCTTTATTACAATGGTGATAGGTGACAGATCAACTTACTGGTTTCACGACAACCTCCGGAAGTACTGGAAGGTGAGACATTCAGATAAAATTGTAATGAGTACTTGTAAGATATTACCCGAAAGAATATTGCAAATGAATCTATCTTTTCTTGAAAATACTTTGAAAGAGTCTACACTCTTAAAAAGAGGTGCATGGAAGTGGAAGAGGAAACACAATTTTTATCACCAACACCCATGTAACGATGTATTTATTAAACTAATATTCTTGTATAGTGTGTAATTAAACCGATATTCATACAATATCAATCGATATTAATTTTGCTACAGTATTTTAATCCATTTATAAACAAACAAACAACGACAACAGACAAAGACAGATAGAAGTATAGAACTACATTACCACAGACTGCAGAGATTCAATCAGATTGATTGACAGTGGTGTCGATTCTGGCAAGAATCTTCTCTAAACCTAAACTTAAATTTGCAATAGTGTATCCTTGTCAGTATCTATAAAGAATGAGAAGGAGAGACTGATGTTAAATTTAGCTTTAAGTTAAGAGAATCATGGCAGAATTGACACCAGTGATAGGCATAGACGTATAAAACAGGATTATGTAGAGCACTTTTGCCAATAAAACGGGACGAGTGAAAGATATATAGTAGAGGCCATTTTAAACATGTCTAATAAGATTACAAAAGCGTATAAATAAGTTTTACAAATGACCGACTACATGCTGTAGGATCTTAATTTCTTTGCGTTCCCAAAAGAAGAATTAGAAAAAATGGGTGCGTGTACTTATGTAGGCGCGTGAGAAGTTAGCCTTCTTTGGCATCGTTTAAAATTAGTTTTTAATTGCATGCAAACAATTAATTACAATAAATTAATAAAAAGTCTGGAAAAGGACGAAGTCAATAAAGTTCAGTTTTAATTTGAAAAAAATGGTTGCCTGTAAAGTCGGTTTTACGGGCGAAGATTTTACGTGACAACGTCTTTTTCTCGGTAGAATATTTATTGATATGAATATAATTAAATTGCACAATAGGAACAAGGAATTGAATGAAAATAAGAATTGCACAAATTTTAACTATAGAAATATATTTTGTTTACTAAAACATTGTACATGTAAACTTAAACTTAACACGAGAGACTCATCGTAACGTTACCGAGCGTTACACTTTTTCATAAGTGACTCCCAGTCGCAACCTAATTTAAGACGTTGTCACGTCAAAAATAAATAAATAATCAAAATATTCAATTAAAATCGCTACTGAATATAATTTATTAGAACATATGTGATTTGCACTTGTATGAAACTCAAACACGTATCCCGAATATACAAACTAGAAACATGTGGATAAATATTATAAATATGAATACCTATAACTGTTACTTTATTACAATAATAACATAAAAGTAACATTGAAAAATAAAGATGTGGTTTTTGGTTCTACTACAACAATGGTCAAGAGATGGCGCTGTAGTCTCCTGAATCGCGCTTTGGTTCCGTTGTTCCAGATTAATAAATACTTTTTGTTACTTTATTACAAAAAATAAAGATGTGGTTTTTGGTTCTACTACACCAATGATCAAGAGATGGCGCTGTAGTCTCCTGAATAGCGCTTTGGTTCCGTTGTTCCAGATTAATAAATTCACAATGCAGTCGTTAGCACCCACAAAATAGAGATTCTATTTCTATTTTGTTGGTAGATTTTCTTAATGTGCGGTAAACACAAAAGTAACGCATGAAGTTGGTCGCTAAAGCGACCAACTTCATTATGTTAAAATTTTGTGTTACATGATGCGCGCGCATCTTAAAATTTCACTCTCATAATTTTTTCATAACGCGCCTAAAGAAGTATAACTTCAAAAAAAAACAACTTAAGGCGAAGCTGTATAGGTGTTGCTCTCTTTGCCTTCTTTAAAAAGGGAGAACAACAATCAAAGTGACAGCTGTTTGTTTGGTAGGATTTCAGATTATAAAGTTCCTAAATTCTAACCTAAAATCTATAAAGCATCTTTGATTGAGGATAGAGTTTTAAGTTTCCTAGTCTTTTTATTGTAAGCATAAATCTGATGAAGGAATTATAATAATATAAGTACATATGAAAGATTCGTGTGAAATCAATATTATTTTAATTGCTTCAAATCTAAATATTGGTTTTGGTAGTACATATGTAATATTTTTTTTATTTGCAGCCGAAAAATGGCTACTAATTATGTCAAATATGCTCAGTTAATCAATGCATCGACGAACTATGCCCGTCGTATGAAAAGATTATCCAATAGAATTTTTGGAGAGGTAGCCATTCCTACAAACTCAAAATCAATGAAAGTTGTTAAGATATTTTCTTCACGGCCATTACATACTAACGAGGAGATCATACATTACTATCCACGTCATGTGGAAACTCATGCCCTCATGTTAAAATTGCGCGAGTATGGCCTCTTCCGTGATGAGCATCAAGATTTCAAAGAGGAAATGAAACGACTGCGGGAACTTCGTGGCAAAGTAAAAGTTTGGCGAAGAAAATTAGAGCAGAAAAAAGAATAAATAGTTTATTGATATGTACATCATCAATGTTATTGTGTAAATAAATTAGGTAACTTATCATACTTGACTATTTTCTTATATGGGTATTTTAAATACTGGTGGTTTTTAAAATATTATTGAACTTATTCTCCTAAATAAATTGGTCGTGTACTTTGTATGATACGATGGAGGAGTAAAATAATAAGAATGAATAAATAGCCATCATTTATTGATTACAAAATCTTTTGTCAGGAAATAAATTGCTACATTAAATATATCAACAAGAAATGCTCAACCGCTTGTTCAAAAGTTGAGTGTGGTGTGAGTGGTGAGGGCTTTCTTGGATCCAGATTAACATATATATAACTTCAACAAATTCTTAAATTAAACTTTACATTACTCAGTTCCAATGCTACATTTGACTAAAAGTAAATTTAAGCCACAAACAGAGTAGGCAACATTTTTCATCAATACATTAATAAAATAAAAAAAAGAAGTCTGCATCTTCACTTCAAACGAATACAACGTATGTGTGCTCGGTTAGCTTGCATATTGCAGTGGAAGCATGCATATCGTGTAGCTACATCTGTCAGAATCTATAAATACCATAATAGAATTATTAAGTTAGTGGCCAATCAATTAATCTTTTCTGATAATGATGTTTTACACTGAAATCGCTCGCTGTTAAATTAAGCAGTGTTTATATAATTTGATAAGCGACAAACACTTCATTGTACAAGTATGGTTTTCAAGTAGAAAATTTTGGTATTTCATATTTACTATTTTGCTCTATTACACTATTATCACATCTCATTCAATAATCGTAAAAACCGGTGATTAAAATACAGTATGTCAATAGTTGAATTTAAAAGCGCAGAAAAGACACATCACACGCGGATAACGGAGATACGCGACAGACAATTCCTTACTACCGTTTAAAGCTTGTGTTTATTATAACAAAATACTATGATCTCATCGCGGTCTCCGCTGCGTGCTTGCCTCAGGTGGCAGAGGGGGGGGGGGGGGGGAGTCAACTAAGCAAGGTTTGGAGTTTACCGACTAACTATGCTGTGATGGGCCTCTTACGAAATAGCTCGTTCAGATTAATCTTTGGAATTTCCGTTCAAAGCGTGGCAGAGATCTCCGTTATTTCATTTCCATTAATCTTAATACGAATATATAGTCTATTCAATCTATAACTTTAAATTTATTCATCGGGATCAGCATCGGATTAAACACACTCGCGCGTTTCACCGTCGGGAACTCCGATCGGCGACTGCGAAAATAAACCTAATCCCTATTTTATTTTCCATTTTTTCGACAATACCACCTAACCCGATCGCTCATCTCCTACATATTAATAGTTCACATATGCACACACGTTAAAACCGCATCCGTTGAAATTTATCCGAGCGGACTCAACATAGACGACTCCGACGAAGGAGACGGCCTCCTCGCTTTCGGATCGAGTCGGGGGACGCGGAAAGCGCATGCTACCGGACTACGGTTAACGGAATCTTTTCGGTCGCGAAAAAGTTCGAAATCGAAGACTGGTGAAAATTCGTAGAGTCCGGGGCGGGGTCGCGTCATGCGCGCATCGGGGTCGATGGAGGTAGGGTAGGGTAGGGTAGGGGAGGGATATAGACGGGTGCGGTTACGTGTAGGCGTTGAAGTCGTCCTGCGCGACGCGGAGCGCCAGGTCGGTGGCGGCGGGGTGGTAGGGCGGCGCCACGGCGGCGGTGGAGAGGCGCTCGTCCTGCAGGCGCCGGCGCAGGCGCTTGATGATGCGGAGCCGCTCCAGGGAGTTGGAGGCATACGGGGCGCCCCCCACGCGCAGCGACTGAGAGATCTGAGACGCCAACTGCCCACCGACAACGCGTTATAAATAAAAAATGGGTGCGTGTACTTATGTAGGCGCGTGAGAAGTTATCCTTCTTTGGCATCGTTTAAAATTGGTTTTTAATTGCATGCAAATAATTAATTACAATAAATTAATAATAAATGACATTTCGTTTCGTTTCATTTCAATGTCCCGTTCGAATCTGCCCTGTTTGCTTTGTTCAAAACTGCCCCACGGTCGCTTGGAAAATAAAATATTACAAATAACGCGCCCGCGGCTAACTTCAATGTTAAAATTTTGTGTTACGGTGATGAAAATTTCACTCTCATAATTTTTTCATAACGCGGCTAAAGAAGTATAACTTCAATAAATAAATATTTCCAACACTCACACCGATCAGCCTAGCCCCAAAGTGAGCACTGTAAGGCTTGTGTTATGGGATGCTAGGGTGACGGATGGAATACATATACTGTACATATTATAAGTATATTTATATAGAAATACATATTAAACGTCCATGACTGGAGTGCGAATGCTCGTATTCATCACGCGAACATCTGCCCCCACCGGGATTCGATTTGGCTCCTTTCGAGTCGGCGACACCATAAAACCCGGCGTACAAACCACTCGGCCACGGAGGTGGTCAAACACTAATATATGACGCGGCACGATTGCAGCCGAAGACATCGGAGAGTTCAACATTGAGATCATCTCTGACGGTGCATCCGCGCTTCGAGCCCTACTTAGCGACACGATAAACTCTGTCCCGGTAATGGAGTGCCACAATGCACTTCGATCCATTGCGGTGACACTCTGCAATGGATAAAAGGACGCAGCGAATCGATCGGAAACGATGCAGCGGACGAACTGGCCAAGAAAGGAGCGGACACAAAAGTGTATGGTCCGGAATATCTTCTGCCCATACCTCAGGCCCAAATTGAACCGTGGCTGCGTGAAAGAACTCGGAAACTACATTTGACTGAATGGAAAACGGGTGAAGGATGCCGGCAAACGAAAAACGCAGTTCCGGCGGCAAACGAGAGACTTGCCCGCACCCTTACCAGACTTAATAGGGACAAACTCCGCATAATTATAGGAACCCTGACTGGTCATTGTTCCCTAAACAAACACCTATACACAATAGGAGTGACAGACTGCCCCCTATGCAGAGGATGTATGGAGGCGGAGGAAACGCCACAGCATGTCATTACGGAATGCAGGAGTGTGGCCGACCAACGGGCACGACTTCTCCAGTCGCCCGCATCGCTTCCGGAAGCTTGCAGCAGTATGCCAAGACTGCTTTCCTTCTGGACTAACCTAGGCTGGTTGGAGTAAACAGGAATGTTTCAAGACACGCACAATGGTCCAATGATTAGGACGCATTGCGGACACCGCCCTGAAAAACTAACTAACTAACTATGTTGCGGCACGAAACTGTAGCGCTGACCGTTATTGCGCAGAAGTAAAATTTAGGAGGAGCTCGATGGCGCAAGTGGTTAGCGCGTTCGGCTGCGATCGTTGAAGTTAAGCAACTTTCGCAGTGGTCGGTCATTGGATGGGTGACCAAAAATTTAATAACATGAGCTTCTCCGTGCTTCGGAAGGCACGTTAAGCCGTCGGTCCCGGCTGCATCTGCAGTCGTCAGCACCCACCAATCCGCACCGGGCCCGCGTGGTGGGTCATGGCCCAATCTCCCTATTCCATTCATAGGGAAGGCCTGTGCCCCAGCAGTGGGGACATTAATAGGCTGATGATGATGATGATGAAAATTTAGGATGTGTTGGAGGGATTGTCTCTCCAGTCGTACCCATGCACAGTATCCCTGACGCATTGTGTTCAGCGCTGGAGTTAAATGCCGTCATTTATAGCGTACCGAGTAACTGCGGGTTACTTTGACCTAAAATGTGCACTTTTTTTTCAAATAAAATTGTAGCTTCTCTTTGTGATGAATATGTCACGTTTATATCTTTCCATTGTGAACTTTAAAGTATAAGTTACAAAGTTATCATACGAAAATAGGAAAGAATAATATTTAAGGGTTCATATATATTTTTGACGTGACAACGTCTTAAATTAGGTTGCGGCTGGGAGTCACTTATGAAAAAGTGTTACGCTCGGTAACGTTACGATGAGTCTCTCGTGTTAAGTTTAAGTTTACATGTACAATGTTTTAGTAAACAAAATATATTTCTATAGTTAAAATTTGTGCAATTCTTATTTTCATTCAATTCCTTGTTCCTATTGTGCAATTTAATTATATTCATATCAATAAATATTCTACCGAGAAAAAGACGTTGTCACGTAAAATCTTCGCCCGTAAAACCGACTTTACAGGCAACCATTTTTTTAATTTTGGGCCAAAGTTGGCCTTAAAGAGGGTTTACTTTAGCTCGTTGAGTTTTCTCTGTGAAAAAAACTAATTTTAAGCCATGTTGGAGTTAAGTAACCCTTATAACAGATCACCATTAGCATACTGAATACACAAATGGATGTTTTTACCCAAAAATAATTCAGTTAATGCAAAAATTGTAAACTTACCGAAAACCACAGTTTTGAGAAAGTTTGAGCATGAACTTGCGAACTATTTCAGTTACAAAAAATCCCGCGTTACAATGACAACTTGATACAGGAACTATGTCGGTAAAAAAACACCACACTACGAGCCTATATGGCTATCTGTGATTTTCAACTGGAACTATTAAGGTCACCCAAGAGATACTGATGGGGCGGCAGGTTCAATATTTTTTCTGATTTGGGACAAAGTTACCCACCCGAGCTAAAGTAACCCTCACTTACGGTACGTTAACTGAGTCAAGTGTCTCCCAGACAGAGACGACTCGCGGCCGGGGTTCCGACTTGCGGTGGATGTAAGCTAGTGGTTATGCACCAGCGGACAATAAGAATAAGCTGGGCGCGGAATGGGGATCAGTTTGTAACACTTAAGATGTAAACGAGTGTTTAAACACAAACGACCAATGCGGTCTAACTGCGGTCGCCTTGTCTATGAGACCCTTAAATCGGATGAAATTAGTAAGTATCCCATAACACAAGCCTTGTAACGCTTCCTTCGAATCCAAGCTAATTTATTTCGTGTTTGCAAAATTTAGATTTGAATAAGCAAACTCCACAAGTTTTCCGTTCCCCTGCCAGGTCAAGCAATAAATATATTCTTAAAATATCTAACTGTAGCCGGCAACTAATAAAAGAGGTTAAGTTTTATAATTTTCAGCTCATCTTATTTGTATTTGTTATGTTTTAAATTACGAATAACTTCAAAAGAAATAAAAATTAATGTTATCGATAAAAACGTTTTTAAATTATACTCACGGCCGCGTGCAGCGCCAGTTGTCGCACCAGCAGCGCCACCACCCCGTCGCCCACGACCTGCGTGTCGAGGTGCGCCAGGAACTTGCCCCGGAGCCGCTCTATAACCCGCGGGTCAGGGTCAGGGTCAGGGTCAGGGTCAGTATCCCTGCCTGTATACTCACGGCCGCGTGCAGCGCCAGTTGTCGCGCCAGCAGCGCCACCACCCCGTCGCCCACGACCTGCGTGTCGAGGTGCGCCAGGAACTTGCCCCGGAGCCGCTCTATAACCCGCGGGTCAGGGTCAGGGTCAGGGTCAGGGTCAGTATCCCTGCCTGTATACTCACGGCCGCGTGCAGCGCCAGTTGTCGCGCCAGCAGCGCCACCACCCCGTCGCCCACGACCTGCGTGTCGAGGTGCGCCAGGAACTTGCCCCGGAGCCGCTCTATAACCCGCGGGTCAGGGTCAGGGTCAGGGTCAGGGTCAGTATCCCTGCCTGTATACTCACGGCCGCGTGCAGCGCCAGTTGTCGCGCCAGCAGCGCCACCACCCCCGTCGCCCACGACCTGCGTGTCGAGGTGCGCCAGGAACTTGCCCCGGAGCCGCTCTATAACCCGCGGGTCAGGGTCAGGGTCAGGGTCAGGGTCAGTATCCCTGCCTGTATACTCACGGCCGCGTGCAGCGCCAGTTGTCGCGCCAGCAGCGCCACCACCCCCGTCGCCCACGACCTGCGTGTCGAGGTGCGCCAGGAACTTGCCCCGGAGCCGCTCTATAACCCGCGGGTCAGGGTCAGGGTCAGGGTCAGGGTCAGTATCCCTGCCTGTATACTCACGGCCGCGTGCAGCGCCAGTTGTCGCGCCAGCAGCGCCACCACCCCCGTCGCCCACGACCTGCGTGTCGAGGTGCGCCAGGAACTTGCCCCGGAGCCGCTCTATAACCCGCGGGTCAGGGTCAGGGTCAGGGTCAGGGTCAGTATCCCTGCCTGTATACTCACGGCCGCGTGCAGCGCCAGTTGTCGCGCCAGCAGCGCCACCACCCCGTCGCCCACGACCTGCGTGTCGAGGTGCGCCAGGAACTTGCCCCGGAGCCGCTCTATAACCCGCGGGTCAGGGTCAGGGTCAGGGTCAGGGTCAGTATCCCTGCCTGTATACTCACGGCCGCGTGCAGCGCCAGTTGTCGCGCCAGCAGCGCCACCACCCCCGTCGCCCACGACCTGCGTGTCGAGGTGCGCCAGGAACTTGCCCCGGAGCCGCTCTATAACCCGCGGGTCAGGGTCAGGGTCAGGGTCAGGGTCAGTATCCCTGCCTGTATACTCACGGCCGCGTGCAGCGCCAGTTGTCGCGCCAGCAGCGCCACCACCCCGTCGCCCACGACCTGCGTGTCGAGGTGCGCCAGGAACTTGCCCCGGAGCCGCTCTATAACCCGCGGGTCAGGGTCAGGGTCAGGGTCAGGGTCAGTATCCCTGCCTGTATACTCACGGCCGCGTGCAGCGCCAGTTGTCGCGCCAGCAGCGCCACCACCCCGTCGCCCACGACCTGCGTGTCGAGGTGCGCCAGGAACTTGCCCCGGAGCCGCTCTATAACCCGCGGGTCAGGGTCAGGGTCAGGGTCAGGGTCAGTATCCCTGCCTGTATACTCACGGCCGCGTGCAGCGCCAGTTGTCGCGCCAGCAGCGCCACCACCCCGTCGCCCACGACCTGCGTGTCGAGGTGCGCCAGGAACTTGCCCCGGAGCCGCTCTATAACCCGCGGGTCAGGGTCAGGGTCAGGGTCAGGGTCAGTATCCCTGCCTGTATACTCACGGCCGCGTGCAGCGCCAGTTGTCGCGCCAGCAGCGCCACCACCCCGTCGCCCACGACCTGCGTGTCGAGGTGCGCCAGGAACTTGCCCCGGAGCCGCTCTATAACCCGCGGGTCAGGGTCAGGGTCAGGGTCAGGGTCAGTATCCCTGCCTGTATACTCACGGCCGCGTGCAGCGCCAGTTGTCGCGCCAGCAGCGCCACCACCCCGTCGCCCACGACCTGCGTGTCGAGGTGCGCCAGGAACTTGCCCCGGAGCCGCTCTATAACCCGCGGGTCAGGGTCAGGGTCAGGGTCAGGGTCAGTATCCCTGCCTGTATACTCACGGCCGCGTGCAGCGCCAGTTGTCGCGCCAGCAGCGCCACCACCCCGTCGCCCACGACCTGCGTGTCGAGGTGCGCCAGGAACTTGCCCCGGAGCCGCTCTATAACCCGCGGGTCAGGGTCAGGGTCAGGGTCAGGGTCAGTATCCCTGCCTGTATACTCACGGCCGCGTGCAGCGCCAGTTGTCGCGCCAGCAGCGCCACCACCCCGTCGCCCACGACCTGCGTGTCGAGGTGCGCCAGGAACTTGCCCCGGAGCCGCTCTATAACCCGCGGGTCAGGGTCAGGGTCAGGGTCAGGGTCAGTATCCCTGCCTGTATACTCACGGCCGCGTGCAGCGCCAGTTGTCGCGCCAGCAGCGCCACCACCCCGTCGCCCACGACCTGCGTGTCGAGGTGCGCCAGGAACTTGCCCCGGAGCCGCTCTATAACCCGCGGGTCAGGGTCAGGGTCAGGGTCAGGGTCAGTATCCCTGCCTGTATACTCACGGCCGCGTGCAGCGCCAGTTGTCGCGCCAGCAGCGCCACCACCCCGTCGCCCACGACCTGCGTGTCGAGGTGCGCCAGGAACTTGCCCCGGAGCCGCTCTATAACCCGCGGGTCAGGGTCAGGGTCAGGGTCAGGGTCAGTATCCCTGCCTGTATACTCACGGCCGCGTGCAGCGCCAGTTGTCGCGCCAGCAGCGCCACCACCCCGTCGCCCACGACCTGCGTGTCGAGGTGCGCCAGGAACTTGCCCCGGAGCCGCTCTATAACCCGCGGGTCAGGGTCAGGGTCAGGGTCAGGGTCAGTATCCCTGCCTGTATACTCACGGCCGCGTGCAGCGCCAGTTGTCGCGCCAGCAGCGCCACCACCCCGTCGCCCACGACCTGCGTGTCGAGGTGCGCCAGGAACTTGCCCCGGAGCCGCTCGTCCTTGCTCTTGATGAACACGCGGTTCAGGCCGTGCTCGTACGGCTCCACCACCACGATGCAGAAGTTGAACTGACCCTGCCCCACACCGATGGATAACGTTCGATTGATGCTGCTTTGTTTTCAAATTAAATTTTAGTTTCAAGTTTAATTTTTTGACTATATCATTTATTTTATAACGGAACTTTCACTTCATCAACTCTAACATAAAAAGGTGTGCAAATCGCCATTTTTACGTTTACTACAGAGTCTGTGCGGAGATAGAATGGGATTTAGATTGGAGAGCTCTGTGGTGCTTTTCTACCGTATTTGTAAGGTTTTACCCCTTTTAGACATGGTTAAATACAAAAAACCGCAAGAAATCACAACAACAACAAATCCGTATCAATACAAAACTTTGACGTTTTACAGATTGCTGGGTTTGATTGCCAAATAAAAATCTTAATGTTAGTTCCGTTTTTCGCCACGCCCATTCTCTTTCCGCACAGATTCTAACACATTATTTGTGTTGCCATAACTTATGTTGTACAATTAGATAAAAAATCCTGTACGGTGCGACCGTACATTTTTGCAAGTCCGCAGTTTAATTAGGTCGATGCAATTTACGCCATTTACATGATTTAAAGAGTAGTTACGTTTTCACCTATTACACGGCGGACGTGTACTCAATATCAATTATATCATTCAATCATTTAATTTAGTATTACAAAATTAGATATCAAATCAATAAACTATAAAATCATATCAACTGTTTCTATTTATAATCAACATCTAAAGGTGTCCCGTACATCTTTATGGTCCTTCGAACTTACGGACAAGTGGGATCAAGTGCGCGGGGACTGTAAAAAGTGCTTGTGTAAGTGGTTCCATACAGCGAACTTTGGACTGCAGTGCCAGGATATCATCAGCGCTTATCATCAGCGTTTCGCCAAGCGCACGAGCTTAGCGATAATCAGCGATCGTAACACAACAGCATCAAGTAAGATCTTTCCTTTTTATCTGTAATTCCAACAACTATCACTATGGAAAATCTTATTGAAAATCAGAGCCAGTTAACGGCGGCGATGGAGCAACTTCTTTCTAACTTCAAGAAGGACGGTGCCCTACGTAAAACTGCAACTTATGTCAAAAAACGATTGAGTACATTAGAGTCTTATTGGCAGGATTATCAGCTCAACCATGTTAAATTATGCGAATTAGAAGAACGCGACCATGAGTATTTTATTTCCGACTTTTTTAACGAAACTTTAGAGTTTTACAACAACGCACGCACATACATACTAAGTTATTTGCCCGATTCTAATGAAAAATCAACTACGAGGCCAACCAGTCCACTGCCTTCGGGCTCTCGGGTCCCATCGTCTTTTAGCAATCAGCAATCTCATTCCACTGAAACTCAACGGGAAGGAAGAAGTATCTTAATTTCGCAAGGTACAAGAAGCAAATTAGAAGAAATGCTAAAAAGACAAAAAAGTAATTTTAAAGCCTTCGCGAGAACTTTAGATAAGCTCAATCTTGAACTTCTCACTGAGAAATGGGAATTTGATGACGCATTGAAATCAATTCAATCACGTTGGTCAGGAATAGATTCCCTACACTGGGAAATCGACAGTGAAGAGTACGAAGATAACGGAGAATATGATGAAGCATACAGCAACTACGAGCAGAAATATATTGAAATAAAAAAGAAAATAAACACCAAGATGTGGTCGGAGTGCCACAGAGAAAAAGCCACTCCTCAAGTCGATGTGCCAATTTTTAACGGCAATTATCACAGCTGGGTATCTTTCAAAGATTTGTTTATGGAAATCATCCACAATAATAGGTCCCTACCGAGTGCACAAAAAATGCAATACCTAAAAAGCAAACTTCGTGGCGAACCTGAAAAATTAATACAGCATTTGCATGTGACATCTGACAATTATTTGGTAGCATGGGATATTCTCAATCAGAGATATAATAATCAAAAATTAATATTCAACTCTCATATGAATATTTTGATGAATATTCCAGTTATGCAAGTACAATCTGCTATCAGTATCAAACGTATACACGACTCAATAAACGAGTCTCTGAATGCCATCAAAAACTTAGGGGTTGATGTCGCCACTTGGGACCCATTGATTGTTTATCTAATGTCTCAAAAGCTTGATACCTACACTCATAATGACTATATAGAATCTCTTAAAAACCCAAGAGAGTTACCATCATTACGTGACTTCTTAGAATTCCTCGAAGGAAAATTCACTGCCCTGGAGTCATCAAAAAGAAAATCAGAAAATAAGTTTCAGCATCAGTCACAGCAGCATCAGCAACAGTCACAGCAGCATCAGCATAATCGACAAATACCATCAACATCAATCATCAAAAAATATAATTCTTATAAGCCAACAGGAAATCAATTACCTAAAAGTTATAATTATAATGTAAAACTTTATCGACCTAATTCACAAAAGTGTGCAGTTTGTAACAAAGACCATGCAATATTTCATTGCGACACTTTTCTCCAATTTCAACCGGATATCAAGCAAGAAACAATAAATAAATTATCATTGTGCAAAAATTGTCTTTATGACCATAAGGGCAAGGTGTGCTTTTCAATGAAACGATGCCGGCTTTGCAAAGCAGAACATAATACAATACTGCACGACGTATTTGCTGTGAAATCAAATAATCCAATATCAAACACGAGCAATGACAAAATAATACCAAAAAATAGCATGACCGCATTACAGGAGGGTACCCAAGAGGTACTGCTGGCTACAGCTCAAATCAAGGTACAAGCAGAAGACGGAAGTGATCATATCTTGCGCGCTCTCATTGACCAGGGGTCGCAAGCCTCCATTATATCGGAAAATGCAGCTCAGTTATTAGGGTTGCGCAGGGAACAATGCAAGGGCGTCATAGTTGGAGTAGGGTCCACCGAAAATCACTGTAAGGGAACAATGAACATTACTATCAAATCAATGCATGATCAATTTTCTATCAATATTAACGTGTTTATTATGAAAAAAGCAGTTAACAACTTGCCCAATAAATCATTCGGTAGACCTAATTGGCCCTACATCCAAAACTTACATTTAGCGGATCCACATTTCTATCAGAGCCGCTCAGTAGACCTTTTATTGGGCGTTGATGTATATGCAGCAATCATGATGGACGGAATAATAAATATAAATAAGTCCACCCCTATAGCACAACAAACAAAGCTCGGCTGGATACTGTGTGGTCACGTGAAATCCTACCAGTGCAATGTCGTGACATTAAACGTCGACGAAATACAGAAATTCTGGTCCATCGAAGATATCAACGACAACAACAATCTGTCAGAGGAGGATTATTATTGTTTACAGCATTATGAATCAACAACGACAAGACAAGCAGATGGTCGATACGTAGTACGCCTCCCACTGCATCCAGATATTGAATCAAAATTAGGACAATCAAAATCACGAGCAGTTGCGCAATTTTATCAAACCGAAAAGAAATTTTGTAAACAAGAAAAATTCGCCATTCAATATAAATCCTTCATGACAGAATATTTGAATTTAGGTCACATGCGCTTAGCATTGAGTAATCAGACACCAAGTTATTACATGCCTCACCACGGCGTCGAGCGCGCCGAGTCTACAACTACGTCACTGCGTGTCGTATTCAATGCGTCACAGCCAACATCGAATGGGCTCAGTTTAAATGATCTTATGCTTCGGGGTCCGAATATGCAACAAGATCTTATGCTACTGATCGTTAAGTGGAGGCAGTACAAATACGCTATAACAGCTGACATTGAAAAAATGTTCCGCCAGATAATCATTCACGAAGAAGATCAAAAATATCAAAAAATTATTTGGCGCGAATCGCAAAATCAATCCTTACAGGAATATCAATTGATGACGGTCACTTATGGCACGAAAGCCGCCCCCTTCTTAGCTATGCAAACTCTGAAACAATTGGCTTGTGATGAAGGCTATCGGTTCCCGGAAGCAGCCAAGGCCGTTAAGGAACAGTTTTATATGGATGACTTATTAGCAGGAGGGTACACCATTAAATCTACAAAACAGATACAATCGGATCTCATTACGCTACTTAAGTTGGGAGGCTTCAACTTACGCAAATGGTCATCCAATGAACCTGAAATATTGAAAAACATCGAATGCAATCAAAGCCATCAAGGACACTTTGATTTTAAACATCAAGAATCGACAAAGACATTGGGCTTAACTTGGAATCCCAAAGATGATCATTTTATATTTCAGTGCAAGATGTCTGAGCCGACCTTGAATAAACTCACGAAAAGAGCATTACTAGGTGAAATTTCAAAGGTTTTTGACCCACTTGGATGGCTCTCACCAGCCGTCGTTCAATTAAAATTATTATTTCAAAACGTTTGGCTTATTGATTTAAAATGGGATGACGTCATACCGGATAACATACACACGGAGTGGTTGAAATTGAGATCAGACATAGAACATATCAACAAAATCAAGATACCTAGGTGGTTACAATGCGAGCAAGAAGATTCAATTCAATTGCATGGCTTCTGTGACGCTTCCACCAAGGCATATGCTTGTGTTATTTACGCAAGAGCCCAGAAACAAGGTACAAAAACAGCATCAATCACTCTCGTAGCAGCTAAAACAAAGTTAGTACCAGCAACCAAGAAATCAAAAGGTATCAACGAAGCAGAAGTGTCCCTCCCTAGGTTAGAATTATGCGGAGCACAATTATTAGCAAAATTGATGAACAAGATATTGGATGGTTTGACAAATCATAAAATTGATATTTATGGTTGGTGCGACTCAACCGCAGTCCTGGGTTGGCTAAACGGCGAACCAAGTCGATGGAAGCCGTTCGTAGCTAACAGAGTTAAGAACATCACTGCAATAATATCACCCGAAAGTTGGCACTACATAAAATCGCAAGAAAACCCTGCAGATTGCGCTAGTCGTGGAATGACAGTGACACAGTTATATGGACATCAATTATGGTGGAAGGGACCCTCGTGGTTAGAATCATTTGAAAAACATAATTTCACCCAAAAAATCATACCAACCACAAATTTAGAAACAAAAAAGAATCAAGTAAATGTGACTCAGATAAATAACATTAACGACGATATCATATCAACAATTTTAAGCAAGCACAGCAGTTTTACGCACGTAACGCGTTTAGTAGCCTATTTACTACGCCCGAAGGAAAAGAATAAGCAAAATTATCTTACTAGTAGCGAGTTAAAGAAAGCAAAATTAAGAATAATTGGACACATTCAAACAATAGAATTTAAAGAAGATATCATTTATTTACAAAAAAATAATGAAGTACACCGAAAAAGCAAATTATTATCATTAAACCCATTCATCGATTCAGAGGGTCTGTTGAGGGTAGGAGGTCGTCTCAAGCACGCTTTCATAAGCAAAGACATGAAGCACCCCCTCATCATCCCTCACAATAGCATTTTGACAACCCGCCTCATAAATCAAGCACATGAGATGACGTTTCACGGCGGTGCACGTCTTACATTGTCAAATTTACGCAAAAATTACTGGATCCTGGGTGGAAATAACGCAGTTAAAAAACAACTCCGTGGCTGTGTTATCTGCAAAAGACACAGACCAGATAAGCAACAACAGTTAATGGGTGATCTGCCCGAAGCGAGATCAAATCCGTCAAGGCCATTCTATTACACAGGGGTAGATTTTACCGGCCACGTAGAGGTAAAGTCGAGCAAAGGAAGAGGTATCAAAACCTTCAAGGGGTACGTAGCGGTATTTGTTTGTATGGCCACGAAGGCTGTACATTTGGAGTTGGTATCAGATTTGACATCATCAGCCTTTTTAGCAGCATTAAAAAGAATGGCAGCAAGACGAGGAATCCCGGGTCACATTTATTGTGACAACGGAACAAATTTTGTAGGCGCCAGTCGAAAATTAAATCAAGAATTAATTAATTTAAAATCTATCATTAGCAACGAGTTTTTAAATGATGTCAGCGAAATGGAGATCATGTGGCATTTCAATGCCCCATCATGGCCCAGTGCAGGCGGACTCTGGGAGGCGGCAGTAAAGAGCCTCAAGCATCATCTCCGGAGGGTTCTTGGTGATCAGAAACTCACCTTTGAAGAGTTTTCAACCCTTCTATCACAACTGGAGGCTTGCATGAACTCCCGCCCTCTCTGCGCCATAACGGAAGATCCTGATGATATAAACTACCTCACTCCATCTCATTTTCTTGCAAGTGGTCCAGTATTAAGTATCATAGACACAGAAAGTGATGAAAGAACACGCTGGCAGCTTACACAAAAGATATTTGGAGATATCTGGAAACGCTGGAGAACAGAATACCTAACGGAGTTGACAACCAGAAGCAAATGGTGGTTACCAAATCAAAATATGAAGATTGATGACGTCGTAATCATACACGACGCGAACTTGCCTGCCGGGAAGTGGCCATTGGGCAGAATAATAGAACTCCATCCAGGGAAAGACGGGCTCGTTAGAGTAGTCTCTATCAAAACGAAGAATGGAATTACCAAGAGACCTATCACAAAATTAACTTTGTTGCCAGTTATGTCTGAAACAAATAAATCAGTCCAATCAAATAATTATCAACCACAAGACTACAATAACGGAAACAAAACAAGCCCAATTAATCAATCCAATACGCAATCATTTAGAAAGCGCGGTAATCGAAGTTCAAATTCAAAACTGTGTAATTTTGTTTTATTTATGCTGCTAATGTTTACAACACTCTTACAAACTGCACAAGGAGCGTATAATATATCAAATTTCAAGGAATCACAAGGTCTTTACTTCGACAAACTGACTAACATGCGTTTAATCAGAGATGAATGGAAGTTGATAATTTATTACAATATGGACCCGTATTGGCAAGGATCTACATTACTCAGCAAATACATCGATCACCTCGAGAACATATGTTCAAAACTGCATGAACGACAACAATGTGACGTAATCCTTTTACAATTACGTCACGGCTACACGGAGTTACACTACAACGATCAGCTGTTACTTGGTCAGCGTTCTGCGACGGGAATACGAGTAAGGCGGCGGCGCGGGCTTATCAATGGTATCGGAAACGTAGCGCACGCGCTATTCGGCGTCCTAGATGATGATTTCGCCGTACAATACCAGCAAGATATAAACTCGATCAGAGAAAATCAACACCATCTAGTAAAACTTTACAAAAATCAAACGTCAGTAATAGAAGCCCAGTACAATTTTTTAAAGAGATTAGAATCATCTATTGACCAACAACACAAGCTTTTTAATCAGCACATAATTAAACTGGAAAAAGAAAATTTCGTAATAAAACAGGAAGTGGATAAGTTAAGATTTATCAACGAGTTTGCTTTATCATCTATAATAGCAAACAATGTATTGGCCAACCTGAAAAAGCTTCAAAATATTCTACTCGACACTGTCACAGATATATATCACGGAACATTCGACATACATATCATATCTCCTGACCAACTAAAGGACGAGCTGAGCTTAATATCGGGACATTTATCAAAGGAAGTCTCCCTACCTATAGACGATATCCATAGTGGTATATCAAAATTATATCATTTATTGAGAGTTAAGGTGAAGATCACAGACCAGTATCTTTTGTTTGAAGTCAAAATTCCTTTAATTACTCGCGAAGGCTATGACATATACAAAATTATACCTATTCCACTGTTATCAAAAAGTAACATGGTAAGCATTATTCCAATATCCGAGTATATAGCAATGAATATTCAAAAGGATTCATATATGCCAATGACTATAACCGATTTACAGATGTGTCTTCACGCAGATCTTGATACCAAATTTTGCGAAATTCAAGGGCCTGTCTATCATATGCAAGATGATAAAAATTTGTGTCTCAAAAATGCACCATCAGACAAGTGCCAAGTTAGCACAAATATTTGTAAAAATACATGGAGCGCACTCAATATGATAAATACTTATATATTTTATTGTTGCGAAAAATGCACACTGCGAATTATGTGTAGCGGTCAAGTTTCTACTGAGCGAGTCAGCAAGGCCGGTGTCTTATCTATCGGGAATGATTGTGTAGTAAAAGGCGAGTCCTTTATAATTCATTCACACAATCGAAAAACAAGCGAATTCAATACCCAACCCGATTTTATCAATATAGAAATTCCTCCTATCAATGATATTATTAATTTGACCGTACCTATCGGGGAAGATGAGATAAGTGAGACGTTGGCGAGTGATCATGAGGTACGCCAATCATCATTGAACGAGATTAGACAGCGCATCCAGGAAATGAAAAACGCGGATGTGTCATTAAAGCAGATATCATATCACGATGTACATCATTATGTCGTTATCTACATATTGGTCGGAGTATGCGTAGTTGCAGCAGCATGGTTCCTGTGGAGGCGAGTGCGGGCGCGCCGCCTCCGCCGGGCGCGGGCCGCGGTGTCGGAGGCGCCACCGCAGCCGCGCCCGGCACCACGGCTCTCTCTCTCTCTTAACGACATCGCGAGTGCAAGTGCTAGTAGTGCGAGTGATGAGGTTTGTGGAGGTCCTAAAGTGTCAGTGCAGTGTGAACACTCTAAAGTGTCAGTGCAAAGTGCGCGCGTACTAGATAAGGCGACCTCGCCCATTTTTAAGTCGCCCAAATTTACCGCTGTTAGCTTAGACGATATTAAACATCATAAATAACCGTAATTTAAGTATCAATGGATTCACCTTGTTAGTTTAAGACATTATCATATTTCTAACAAAATCATTTCATCTCATCTCCTTTCGCGGCCGGGAGCATGTACGGTGCGACCGTACATTTTTGCAAGTCCGCAGTTTAATTAGGTCGATGCAATTTACGCCATTTACATGATTTAAAGAGTAGTTACGTTTTCACCTATTACACGGCGGACGTGTACTCAATATCAATTATATCATTCAATCATTTAATTTAGTATTACAAAATTAGATATCAAATCAATAAACTATAAAATCATATCAACTGTTTCTATTTATAATCAACATCTAAAGGTGTCCCGTACAAATCCATTTATATTTTTATTGAAATCGACATATTTTCCTACACATTTATGTGTAGGATGATAATAGTTGAGCTACAGGATTGGACAGTGTAGTTTGGAGAAAAGAATAGATGCTTTTAAAAAAAAAAATTCAATCGAACGAAAGAGTGACTTGTGTACGTCACTAGTAATGTAGTGTGGGTCGTATTAGTGATATCGTACTGAGGAGAGTAGTGGCATCAGTATCCCTAGCACGAACTATTATCGAATTCGAATAGTTTGCGAGTGCTAAATGTCAATGTCAAATTTTGTATGGAAACTTGAACAGCACTGCCACAAACTACATACCGAGAACTAAAAATCAGTACACATTTGACAATGACATTTCGGACTCGCAAAGGTTACGAATTCGATATTGGGTCATGCTAAGGCTCCTGATGGCAGTCACCTTGATGGTGTGAATGTTGAAATCAGCTCCCGAATCGTTGTAGACGATAGACACGTAGTCGTTGCCGATGTACTTGCGCTTCTCGTTGCACGTGGGGTCCTTGGCCGACGAAGGCATCGCCGTCGCCACGTGGAACAATACCTGCGCATACAAACCAACGGTATTAAATACCCTAGATACAACAACACGAACAAAATCGGGGCTGAAACCTGTCCAAAAGGTACATTCGACGATCCACGGGGCTCCGTAAGATGACCGTGTTGTCAAAAAATTCGAAATCCTTAATGCATACTCTATAAGGTCTTAATTAAAACGCATACGCCAAAGAGTTACGATAGTTCGAAATGTGAGATCGACATATTTTACGACATTGCTATATGCGGAAGAATATATATATATGTCGGAGAGCGACTATTCACTTTGTCATTAGCGTTCACGGGCTTAGTGGGCATCATTGGGGCTTGATACAGGCACAAAACCAAACAATCACTCAATCACTGTTCGTACTATTTTAATTACGTTCTTTTAACAAAAACAAAATGTTTCACACACACTTTACTTTACACTAAGGACACTTAAATAACGTAACAACCGAGCAGCGGGTTCAAGGTACTATAGAGTTCTACCCAGAAGGGATAGAACCTGGGAGCGTAGATGTTAATTGAAAGATACTGATAGAGATAAGTTATTTATTTCGTTTTATCATTCAGGCTAATATAAAAGTATTTTATCTAAATACGAGAGGAATTCTTGGCGCCTGAAGATCTAATCTTGAATGGAACCTTCTATCAAAAGACAGACGATTCCTTATTTCAAATTAAAATCATGACATTAACTTTTTAATATAACTGCCAACCGTAGGCATTGCAAAAGCAAAGAGTTTACCTAAACAAGGAGGCTGCAACGTCGAGGACGTTCTGACTGACGAATCTGACTTCACTGAACTACCGTATCACCTTTCTAGTAATGAACCGCTACGATCAGTTCCTCGCCTTTAAATACGCGCAAAAACTACCTCCCACTTGTGAAAATCAAGATGGCGCCTCGACCCTGCGGTACCTGCATGACGTCATCGTGCCACACGTATGTGTAGGCGCCGTCCTTGCCGCCCTTCTCCAGGTTGAGGAACAGATGGGGATGCTCCTCCCCGTCCATCCATAGGTGCAGGCGTGTGGCCCAGCAGTGGGGCCATGGTCAGGCCGATGATGGCGGTACCTGCATGACGTCATCGTGCCACACGTATGTGTAGGCGCCGTCCTTGCCGCCCTTCTCCAGGTTGAGGAACAGATGGGGATGCTCCTCCCCGTCCATCCATAGGTGCAGGCGTGTGGCCCAGCAGTGGGGCCATGGTCAGGCCGATGATGGCGGTACCTGCATGACGTCATCGTGCCACACGTATGTGTAGGCGCCGTCCTTGCCGCCCTTCTCCAGGTTGAGGAACAGATGGGGATGCTCCTCCCCGTCCAGAGGCACCAGGCTGCCCAGCGCCGACAGGAACTCCGAGTACCTGCGATGCGACACCGGGATATCAATCAAAAAACAACTCTCCCAACTGAGGAGCTCGATGGCGCAGGTGGCTAGCGCGTTCGGCTGCGATCGTTGAAGTTAAGCAACTTTCGCAGTGGTCGGTCATTGGATGGGTGACCAAAAATTTACTATCTCGAGCACGTTAAGCCGTTGGTCCCGGCTGCATTTGCAGTCGTTAGCACCCACCAATCCGCACTGGGCCCGCGTGGTGGGTCATGATCCAATCTCCCTATTCCATCCATTGGGAAGGCCTGTGCCCCAGCAGTGGGGACATTAATAGGCTGATGATGATGATGATGAAACGACTTCCTATGACTTATAACATCCACTTTAGTGAATATGATATTTTTTTACTATCTAAGACAATATTTGTTTCTTAGGTTTTCACGCACATCACTCATTAAATAAAACTAGTTTTTACGGGTTAATGCACGAAACTTTATTTATTTATTGACGTTTCGCAGCCTTTTCAGGTCTGCATCGTCAGAATAATGATTTTATTTAAAATTGTCGAGCTACCTTCGAAAGAATTATATTGTGCGTTCGGTTATTTCATTGGAAGATTTTTAAAAAAATTTTATTGTCTATGTATGAATTTATTATTTAATTTACTTTATAAAGTATTTTATTTAAAATTTTTGTTTGTAATTTTGAGTTTATTTATTTGACCCTAACTACCGTAAACTACCACCGGTTCCAAAATTGGGAGACCTTCCTGAGAAGAACCGGCGAAACAAACTCAAGAGAGGCTTTCTATCTCCTTCTTATGTTAAATTATGCAAACAAAAAGAACTAATAGTATCTGATGGTCTTGCAGTGTGTGCTTGGGGTTGGGATTTTATCTCCTGTATAATAGGTTCCCAAGCTGGTGGTATATACCAACCATCTTCCCTATTGAAATTTGGATATTTTTTAATCTCAATAGCCTCGCGCATCATTCGAGGAACGAACCGCCGCTCAGCTGCAAGGATCTGTGGTCTATCAAATCTAATGTAGTGGTTTGGTCCCCCTAATGCATGTTCACACACTGCAGATTTATTTTCGCGCCTATGTTTCATATCTGCGATATGTTCTTTTACCCGAGTCCCTATACTCCTCTTTGTTTGCCCGATGTAGGAGAGCCCACAGTCGCATTCAAGTTTGTAGACACCAGCAACTTGAAAGGGTATATTGGGATGGTGACTCACACCATCACCCGAAACAATTAACTGCCGTAGGAAACTCTTTGTTTCAGAGAGCACGGGGTGTCTGTGACGAACAACACCTGGCAGCTGAACTTCAGCATGTCGAGCAAGTACTGAAGGATAATAACCTGAATGTACCACGTCGCCGTCACAGTCGCGCCAAATCTAGCACAGTCGACCGACAACCTGCTATACTACCTTACATGAAAGGAGTCACTGACAAGATTGGGAGGATTCTGAAGCGTGCTTCAATCAATACATACTTCAAGCCGCCTAAGAAGATCAACCAGTTTCTACGACCGGTCAAGTGCAATATACCCTTTCAAGTTGCTGGTGTCTACAAACTTGAATGCGACTGTGGGCTCTCCTACATCGGGCAAACAAAGAGGAGTATAGGGACTCGGGTAAAAGAACATATCGCAGATATGAAACATAGGCGCGAAAATAAATCTGCAGTGTGTGAACATGCATTAGGGGGACCAAACCACTACATTAGATTTGATAGACCACAGATCCTTGCAGCTGAGCGGCGGTTCGTTCCTCGAATGATGCGCGAGGCTATTGAGATTAAAAAATATCCAAATTTCAATAGGGAAGATGGTTGGTATATACCACCAGCTTGGGAACCTATTATACAGGAGATAAAATCCCAACCCCAAGCACACACTGCAAGACCATCAGATACTATTAGTTCTTTTTGTTTGCATAATTTAACATAAGAAGGAGATAGAAAGCCTCTCTTGAGTTTGTTTCGCCGGTTCTTCTCAGGAAGGTCTCCCAATTTTGGAACCGGTGGTAGTTTACGGTAGTTAGGGTCAAATAAATAAACTCAAAATTACAAACAAAAATTTTAAATAAAATACTTTATAAAGTAAATTAAATAATAAATTCATACATAGACAATAAAATTTTTTTAAAAATCTTCCAATGAAATAACCGAACGCACAATATAATTCTTTCGAAGGTAGCTCGACAATTTTAAATAAAATCATTATTCTGACGATGCAGACCTGAAAAGGCTGCGAAACGTCAATAAATAAATAAAGTTTCGTGCATTAACCCGTAAAAACTAGTTTTATTTATCTAAGACAACTTTTAAGAGGGCAATAACTTCCGAATTAATGCCTATCTGATGCACTGTGATACCTAGTGACCAAATTTTAGTTCCGTTTCTGGTTCCGTTTGTGCCCACGGCTGGTTGGGGGACCCGTTGGTTGGCGGGTGTCGGCTGGTGAGAGATCAATTATACTTATATTGTAAATGCGTGTTTGGTTTCTCATCGCCCGGCCCTGGTCGCTTGATAGGTTCTTGCAATCTGTCCTTGTTATTACTATAGACTAATGATGGAAACCTTGCTGCTATTTTGCTTATTGTTTTATACATTGTCTCTGTTAAACTAAAGGACTTGGCGATGCTGATGTTTTTGTGCAGTTGTTGTTTTGTTTAATATCACACCTATTATTGATTTATAAAAGAAAACCTGTAATTGGTCTTACCGTAATTTATATGAGTTATAGAAGTACTATTTGTAACACTGTTGGTTTTCTCTAAATAAATAAACATTAGACACATAAAAAAAAAACTGTATTGGACGCTTCCACCGTTCGTTTAACGTGTCATTCATTGAAATAGCTACAGGGGGCCAATCGCCTAACGGAAATGCTTTGGAAAACGCTAACGTTTACGATTTTATTTTGTTATTTCTAGCCGCCTGAGGTATTCAAATGCCTCGCGCTCTTTCTTTTTCTTTTGCATTGGTAATAACAATATTAAAAAAAATGAGCGTGAGGTATTCGAAAACCTCAGGCGGCTAGAAATAACAATATAAAATCGTAAGCGTTAGCGTTTCCCAAAGCATTTCCGTTAGGCGATTGGCCCCAGGTCAACTAGCCAAAAACTTGGGTGTCCAAAAATTTACTATCCTCCGAGTATCGAGTTCCTCCGTGCTTCGGAAGGCGTGTTAAACTGTTGGTCCCGGCTGAATCAATTTGAATTGCCTGAATCTGCAGTCCGCATTGGGCGGTTAGTTGTCATTCTGTAATACGAGCCAAGATGACTGACCCATCTTCCGAAGGCCGACTTAGATTACCGGTACCAATCAGCCTCGACATCAAATGGGATGCAGGCGTTTAATGAATGGCCTAGGTGTCAAATTGCCCAGCTAGTTTAACCAGGTGCGACAACTTTACAATTTTTTTTGGACGATTCAAAAGAGTTGTACTATACATGCAATTTGAATAAAGATATATTGATTTCAGATTTCTACTACGAGCTGCCTTATCCACCCATCTATACTATATAATTTTCTAGGAAACGATACAATTCTACCGATGGAAGAAAAGCTTGTGTGACGCAGTTTTTTTTATATATTTATACATTTTACATTTATATTTTGCAACACTTCACACCAATTAGCCTAGCCCCAAAGAAAGCACTGTAAGGCTTGTGTGTATGGGATACTAGGGTAACGGATAGAATACATACTGTACATACATAAATCTAATATATAAAATTCTCGTGTCGCGGTGTTTGTGGTTAAACTCCTCCGAAACGGCTTTCCCGATTCTCATGAAATTTTGTGTGCATATTGGGTAGGTCTGAGAATCGGACAACATATATTTTTCATCCCCCTAAATGTTAAGGGTAATCCACACTTAATTTTTTTTTCAATTTTAGATTTTATTTTTATTTTTTTATGATACAGCATTAGTAAATACATACAACCCTAAAGTTTCACTTTTCTACCACCAACCCCTATTTTTTTATGGCGGTACGAAGTTCGCTGGGTCAGCTAGTATATCTATATAGAAATACATATTAAACACCCATAACTGGACTACAAATGGTCGTATTCATCACACAAACATCTGCCCCCACCGGGATTCGAACCCGGGACCTCTCGAGTCCGCGACACCATTAAACCCGACGTACAAACCACTCGGCCACGGAGGTCGTCAAATCTTGTTTATCCTTGTCATTTGCAAGCAAGCACTCGACTTATTCGTTTCCGTGAACAGACTACTTGTTGCAGTGAACTGTACCCCTAGCACGAACCATTATCGAATTCGATAGTTTGCAAACCGAAATGTCAATAATTTTTATTATTTTTAAAGCATGTAACTGCTTGATTATAACTATAATTGCTATTTCTTCTTTCAAATGTTTAATACTTGTAAAAGTATTCATTTGACATTGTGGGTTTACCTATAATGCGAAGAGATGGCGCTGCCTTGCAGCTTAAGAATAGCTAGAAAGAATTTCGACGCGGTCCGTGAGGGCCGCGGTAGCATAATTGGTCAGTGCATTCGCCCGGATTGCGAAGGGTGCGGGTTCGAGTCCCGTCTGCTGCCTGGTCCGCGTGGAATTTTTTCTAGTTATATTTTCTTTCGAAATGTCAATGTCAAATTTTGTATGGAAACTTGAACAGCAGCGCCACTTTGGACGTAACGGGAACTAAAAATCAGTACACATTTGACAATGACATTTTGGACCCGCAAACGTTACGAATTCGATTTTGGTTCGTGCTAGGGGTACTGTATTTCAGCGGCGAAGTGAAGTGAGGCACAAACGGTGGACTCACCTCACGCTGCCGTACTCGTTCTTCAGAATTAACACTTCGTTGTCTTGCTGGCCGGGGCCCACGTATAGGACGCCCACCTGTGGGATCATTGCAAACATTTCTTTAAGATTACTTATTCTAACATTGCAACAAAACTTTTTGATCCCTTGGAGAATAGGGATGACGACTACCTTTTCTATTCGTCTATCAGGTAGATTATTCACATAATCAAACATAACAAACAGACATAATATTTGAGTATTTGACAGTGTTAAAAATAAATAATAATAGAATATTGGCAGGGGTTTTTACTATTTTTACAAAAACAATATTTTTAATTTTACTAAAAACTAACCAAAAAGATAATAGTTTTCTTATCTATCGTCACGTGACCCAAAACGCTTGGGACTGGCGGAGCCTAAAATGACGTCACACGCAAGTAAACTTCCGGTTACAGTGACATTACATTGTATCGTTTGACGTTTTAATAACAGTCGTGTGACGTCACACACTAGTAAGACGCCATATTGGCCAGAGAACCGTTTTCGCGGCAACTTGAAAATTGTTGTCATCATCGCTATTAGTTGTGATACCGAGACGAGTTAATAGTTCACAAAAAGATTAATGACCTGCGCAGACGAGGGACGTTTGTCTGCGGACTATTTTGCATCGAGTATCGCGCACGAGGAATTAAAAGTAATGCATATAAATAGT